ATAGTAAAAATAATTCAAATTCTGCAATGAATTTTATTATTTATAAAAATAATTGAGTCTTTTTAAAAAAAAATGTATTATTTATGAAAATTATTGGGAAGAAATTTATAGAAAATTTGAAAGTAATGAAATTCATGTGAATTCTTGCAAAGAATTTTATCAAAATATTTGATAATAATTAAATTTCTTCAAAGAATTATATTATTTATGAAAATAATTGAATTTTTTTTTTTTTTAATTGAATTTTTGAAAAGAATTTTATTAAAATGTTTGATAATCCTAATTAAATTCTTTTGAAGAATTTCTTTGAATTTTTTTTAAAAATGAAGTTTCTAATTTTAGTCGAAAATTTTTAAAGTAATTACGAATGTTATATGAACAATTTCTTTCAAGTTTTTTTACAATAATCGTATTTCTTAATAATCGAAATTAAACATTTAATTCTTGAATTTCATTAAAATTTTTAGAAAATAATTGAATTTTTTCGAAAAATTTCTTTAATTTATTGAATACAATCAAATTTGTTAATAAATGTGTTGAAAATAATATAATTCCTGAGAAGAATTTTATTATTTCTGAAAAATAATTTTATTTTTACGATGAATTTTATTACTTATAAAAATAATTGAATTGTTTCGAAGGATTTATTCAAATTTTAGAAAATAATCTGGATTATTTCGAAAAATGTTATTAGAAATTTTTTTAAAAATTGAATTCTTTCATGAAATTTTATTGTCAAATACTGTTTGTTAATTGTCGCCTTTGGACCTAAGGCCAAAAATTAAAGTCCTTGAAAAAATACCGAAATGAAATTTTATTAAAATTCTATTAAAAATAATTGAATTTTTGCAAAGAATTTTATTATTTACAAAAATAATTGAATATCTTTGAAGAGTTTCTGTTATTTCTCTAAATAATTGAATTTGTTCAAGAATTTTATTAAAACTTTTTTTGTACCTATATTTTTTTATTTATTAAAATTTTAATTGAATTTTGGAGAAGAAGTTTATAATTTATAAAGATAATTGAATTGAATTGCGCAATTGTAATTAGGTACTTTAGAAAATAATTGAATTTTTGCAATCATTTGTAACTTACTAAAAATTCTCTAAATTATATCGTTAAATTTACGAACTTTTCTTGCTTTTTCAATGAAATTACGAACTTTGCAGATCTTTTTTTTTAAAAATGATACTTATCTAATAAACTAAACGTATCTAATAAACAAAAACAAATACGCAATACAGCATAAAAATTTCCGTCCTATCTTTTAGTACCCGACACTTGTGATTTTTAGCAACTAATTAGTGTCTTCTTCATCAATTATTCAATGCATTATGTAATAGAAACGTCAAAGCTTGTAATAATTTAACGAATTTATTGCCTAAATTTCATAAGATTTTTATTAGAAAAAACAAATTGACAATATTTCTGTACGAAATGAAATCTCTTTATATTATGATTATGAATCAGTGAAGTTTTCACTAATATTTGAATCAGTGAAATTGACCAGTCTCAATTTTTTTGTTATCTCGTTGACTATATTTAAAATTCGCACTCCGATATTTTTACGTCAAATAAAATTTATGTCAAATAAACTTTATGCCAAATGAATTGAAAATTCGCGCTTTAATTTTCATGTCCAATGAATCATGAATTAATTAATAAGTGTTGAAAAACATTTCTTCATGTTTTATAGTTATGAAAAATTTAATTTATAATTTTAAGTAAAATGTTCTTTTATTTGACTCGGACTGGTTATATTTTCGTTCGTAAATGGTCCGTAATTTTTCATTTTTGGTCCATGAAGTACGTATTTTTAAATACCGTGTCACTGGTTCGAGCCCTGATAATTTTTTTAAGAATGTTCATTTTATATTCATAATTTATAACGTTGGTGACCTTTACAATGATTTAGAAGAAAAAATAATTTTCTATTCAAACTTTTGTCTTAATATAACTTTTACAACGTTTCTTGAACAAAAAATTAAAGAAGGAAAATTTTGTAAACGTAAAATATTGTTTTCTCAATGAAAATCAGTTTTTTTCTTCAATTCGTTGATGACAAATGTTGTGAATACTTCTCCCACCTCATTCATAAGTGTTATCAAATAAAATTTAAGCAATATATTTTTTGTAATCCCTTATAACCTGGAAAAAAAATTTTAGAAGGCCTGGAAAACCTGGAAATGTCAGGGAAATTTTTTTCAAATTAGTTGTAGTCACCCTATTCGTGTTAGCATGTAAATTAGTGAAACGCTAATAATGTGAACAGCTACGCATAACATTTTTTTTCAGTGACGCGCATTCATGTCACAAAACCAGCGTGAAACACAATTCAAGCGTCTCAGCTGAAGATATGTAAGCGTCTCAAAATGAGACACTTATCTGACACATATCTGTTTCAAATATAATTAAAAGACTTCTTAAGTGTTTCAAATATGGGGACAAAATGTCTCAAAATGAAACACTTATGCTTTTACGCAGAAATGATAATTTTTTTTTTAATGAATGCAGAATTAATTTTCATTCGTCATAATTTGAATAATATATGAAGAAATAAAAAGAGATTTGGGAATAAGGTGCCTCCTATAAGATTCCAAGGTAGGGAGGAATCACGGGGCTTGTAACTTATATAGTAGTGAAGAAGGTGCAGTGAAGGGGGGCAGAAAAGTGAGCCAGCTAACCTTGGCGTCCATGGTATGCGCCCATTGGCGTCTTCTTCAAAGGCGTAGCATATATCCTTGCTATTCATCCAGCATCTTGTTTTTGATTACAACATTAAAAAAAAAAGAAAATAAAAAAAATTATTCTTTGCCAACTCGTCACTTTTCTTCTATATTCATAAATATATCATCACAACGAAAAAGACAAATATTATCCAAGGTTGCGGTCACTATATTCGTCTCTTGCACTTGTAAACTTTGAATACCTCATATATCTTTTGGTCTCACGATTTTCATGTGCTTGGAATATTCGAGTGAAGCTCGTCTACCTTCCGCCAACAACGCAACCTTGACTCGAAACTCACCAAGGTGAAATGGAGGCAACAAACTTGTGCATGAATTATCTTGTGTAAAGAGGCGTTCATCCGATATATGTATATATATATACTTTTCTTTGAGGTACTTTGAAGTTTAGTTTAGAAAATTACTGAATAATATGTGAATCGAATTTTTTCCCCTTTTTATTTTGTGTTTCGTTATATGAGTTTGATACTAGTTGTTATGGATTTATTGCTTGCCTTTTAGTAACTGTAAGCATCCGTTACCCGAGGGCAGAAATGTGAATGTGAAAGCAATTTATCGCGTAAAATTGAAATTTACTGAAACACGTTATACGTAATGTTGTGATAATTGCTATCAAAGTATAGATATTATGACTGAATTCATTTTTTTTTTTTCAATACCGAGGCCTTAATATGTAGGAGAAATTACTGCGGCTTTAGAAAGTGTATATTTTCAATGATTGGGGTAGGTGGGAACGGGTTAATATGAATAATATTTGATAAAGGTATTCGTAAATTATTATTTACGCTTCATTTTGAAATGGTCCCATCGAATTCTTATACTTGGCTAAATCATTTTAAATCAGGGATTCTTTAAAAATTTAATTTTGCTTCTCCCTCATTTCCACTCTCTAAATTTGAATTAGTTAAAAATAACTGATTTAGAAGCAAAAAGTCAGTCACTGATTGTCAGTTGAACCTACGATTTTTAACTGATACAAATTAAGAGAGCAGGCAAAATTTGAACTTTTTTCCTGTCACTAGAGAATATTCTGATTCACTCTAAAAATTATTAGGTACCGTTTTGGTACAGTCAATTTACCCCGAGTTAACTCGGGAAAAACCGAAGGGAGGATAAGCTATTAGATAAAATAAATAAAAATAATAAAGCTATTATAAAATAAATAAATAAAGCTATTAGATAAAATTAGATAATAAGAGATGCAATCTTTGTATGAAGCCGTATGAAGCCGAAAAAATTGTTTCAATTTAATTTTTGTTATATTCTTGTTTGAGTGAAGAGTTATTTTTCATTTTTGATATTGTATTAGGGTCACCACCCTGCTAAATTGTTAAAAATTTATACATTGCATGGGAAAGATACAAGATAATTGAATTTTCCGGCAATTACACTTTGGAAGTGTTTGATGATTATAAAACAAACTCTTCGAATAGCATAGTAAAATAGCAAAAAAAAATGTTATATGTGAATTGGAACGTTTAGATATTTACATAACATCAACGCAACATGGCAGCTTTCTTCATTCTTGATGATTATAAATACCGGTACTAGAAAATTAGCAGAGCGTCGCGAGATCTTGTCCCCAAATGCAATTTTTCAGTTTTTCCGTCTGAATCCAATGTCGATTCTCAACATAAATCCAGTAGAGAATCGATGTCAATTTAATAGCATGTGACTATTAGAACTTCAATGTTAATTTTTCGACCACTTTTCTCTTAAAATTTTGAATAAATTAAGCTAGTTTTCTTTGAATAACTCTAAAACAATAAGGAAAGACACTGTGGTGCTAAAGTTTTGATAATTAAAAAATTTATTATTATGTATAAAACACTTTTTAATTTTTTAAAAAATTAGAATAACCGGTACAACCTGATAATTTTAAAGTGATTTATAATAATTAATCTTTGAATTTTCAAAAATTATGTTAAAAAATAATAGTTCAGTTGACTGAAATAAATATAGTTAAATTATAAAAACAATCATAAGATCTAATTGCACTTTTACTACATTGTTAATACTTTCAACTACTTTTTGGTAGCCAGTTTTTTTTAAATTTACTTAAGAGCAATTAAAAATTTGTCAAATCTACTAGAAACTTTTTTGAGGATAGAATATGGTATGTGAGTTATAAAAGAAGAACTGTGCCATGTTAGGTATTTGATTTCAAAAGAGGAGTATAGTTTTCAAATTAAATTATTTGTAGGAAAGAAATATGTAGACTGTTTTCCATTAAATTGTAATATAGTAATTTTATTTCTAATTACAATTTAGTTTACTTACTATTAATTCTTACGTAAATATAAAAATACATAATTTAAATAAAGAAAAAATAAATTTCCTATTATTTAGGAATAAAGAATTTCCATTAACTTTATTTAATTTTTCTTCTCTTTTTTTATATATCTTAAAATTAGTTAACTAACATTAATTTCACAAAAGAAAGAAAATATGGCACAATTTTGACCAACGAAAAACATTTTAATGATAGAGAAAATATAACTTCAAAGAAGCATCTACGTACGTACTACTTTTCAATTTTACGAAAAAAGCAAATCCGTCTGACAGTCATACAACTAAATTAAAATCTGTCAAAAAATTATTATTTGAAAATTAATTTCTGTTTACAAACTAGGTTTACCGATGTTAAGAGACTAACAAGCCTTAAATAAATTACTTAAGTCCTTGTCATTTAAGTAACTAAGTATGATTTCAGTATAACATTGTGGTGACTTGGTAAAGTTGTTACATAACAGAGGAAAAATTTTATAACATTGGTCTAGTAACTCTCTTCTTTTCATACCCTTTAGAAAATTACACATTATCATGTTGCCGTAAATTGGAAACTTCTTTTTATAATCCAGTGATTTTAGAACCTGCACTATATTCTCATTTTTCATGTACATTGCTAATAAGCAATCTTTACTCAATATGTCAAAGAACGAAATGTATGTGTTATTAATTTTTTCATTCTTCAACCGTAATACTTCTTTCTCACATTTTTTCTGATAATCACACCCCATGCGCTTGTCACTGGAAAATAATAGATATTTTTCGCTTACAATTAAATTTGCTGTTTTTCTTTTAATTAAGTGACAATTAATAACATTGCGCAATTCACTAGGTACATCATAATTACAATCAATTTCGGCACCAAATTCTAGGAACAATTTAACAGTCTCTTTATAATTATTATTATTAGCTTCAATGTGCAAGGCGGTTTCTTGACGCTGACTTACTGCATTTACATCAGCTCCTTTAAATAATAGAATTTCACAAATTGCTTTATATCCTTTTTTAAATGAAAGATAAAGTGGTGTATCGCCATCACTATTTTCACAATCAATTTCAGCACCAAATTCTAGCAACAATTTAACATTCTCTTTACGATTACTTTTAGCTGCAATGTGCAAAGCGGTTTCTTGATTTTGATTTACTGCATTTACATCAGCTCCTTTAATTAAAAGCATTCTACAGATTTCTTCTCTTCCATTTCTGGCAGAATAATAAAGTGGTGTTTCACCATTACTATTTTTACAATTAACTTCAGCACCAAATTTTAGCAACAATTTAATAATCTCTTTATAATGATTTTTAGTTGCAAAGTGTAAGGCGGTTTCTTGACGCCAAGCTACTGCATTTACATCAGCTCCTTTAAATAATAGAATTTCACATATTTCTTTATATCCTCTTCTAACAGAAATATAAAGTGGTCTGTCACCATCATTTTTTTTACAATCGATTTGAGCACCAAATTCTGTCAATAATTTAACAGTCTCTTTAAAACCATTTTTAGCTGCAACGTACAAAGCGGTTTCTTGACATATATCTACTGCATTTACATCAGCTCCTTTAATTAAAAGCATTTTACAGATTTCTTTTTCTCCATTTTTTGCAGAAAAATAAAGTGGTGTTCTACGATTAATATTTTTAGAATGAATTTCGGCACCAAATTCTAACAATAATTTAACAGTCTCTTCATGACCATTCTCAACTGCAAGGTGCAAGGCGGTTCCTACATATTTGTCTACTGCATTTACATAAGCCCCTTTAGTTAACAGCATTTTACAAATTTTTGTATTTCCATTCTCAGCAGCAAGATGAAGTGGTGTGCTGTTATTATTATTTTTGCAATTAACTTCGGCACCAAATTCTAACAATAATTCAACCAAATCTACTGATTCTTTTTCAACTGCAATGTACAAGGCAGTGCTCTGATAATCATTTACTGTATTTACATCTGATCCTTTAATCAAAAGCATTTTACAGATTTCATTATTTCCTTTTCTAGCAGAAAGATGAAGTGGTGTGTTGCCTCTTTTATTTTTACAGTGAATATCGGCAACAAATTCTAGCAATAATTTAACAGTCTCTTCATGACCATTGTCAGCTGCAAAGTGCAAGGCGGTTTCTTGATCCATATCTACTGTATTTACATCAGCTTCTTGAATTAAAAGCATTTTACAAATGATTGTATTTCCTTTTCCAGCAGAAAAATGAAGAGGTGTTTTACCATTATTATTTTTACAATAAATTTCGGCACCGAATTTTAGCAACAATTTAACAGTCTCTTCATGACCATGTTCAGCTGCAATGTGCAAGGCGGTATTTTCATACCTACCGACTGCATTTATGTCAGCTCCTTGAATTAAAAGCATTTTACAGATTTCTTCTTTTCCTTGAATGGTAGAAACATGGAGTGGTGTGTCGCCATAATTATTTTGACAATCAATGTCGGCACCAAATTCTAGCAATAATTTAACAATCTCTTCATGACCATTGTCAGCTGCAATGTGCAAGGCGGTTTCTTTATACTTGTCTTCTACATTTACATCAGCTCCTTGAATTAAAAGCATTTTACAGATTTCTTTATTTCCTTTTCTAGCAGAAAAATGAAGTGGTGAATAGCCATAACTATTTTGACAATCAATGTCGGCATCAAATTCTAGCAATAATTTAACAATCTCTCCATGACAATAGTTAGCTGCAATGTGCAAGGCGGTTTCTTTATACTTGTTTTCTGCATCTACATCAGCTCCTTTATTCAAAAGCATTTTACATATTTCTTTATTTCCTTTTCTAGCAGAATAATGAAGTGGTGTGTAGCCATAATTATTTTGACAATAAATGTTGGCACCAAATTCTAGCAATAATTTAACAATCTCTTCGTGACCATTTTCAGCTGCAAAGTGCAAGACGGTTTCTTGACTTTCACTTTCTGCATCTTCATCAGCTCCATTAAATAATAGAATTCTACAGATTTCTTTATATCCTCCTCTAACAGAAAGATAAAGTGGTGTGTAACCATCACTATTTTCACAATCAATTACGGCACCATATTCTAGTAATAATTGAACCAACTCTTCATGACCATTTTCAGCTGCAATGTGCAAGGCGGTCGTTTGAAGATAATTTTCTACATTTGCATTAGCTCCTTTAATTAATAGAATTTTACATATTTCTTTATGCCCGTTTGCAGCAGAAACATGAAGTAGTGTGTCGCCATCATCATAATAACCTTGACAATCAACGTCGGCACCAAATTCTATCAATAATTTAACAGTCTCTTCATGACCATTCTCAACTGCAAGGTGCAATGCAGTTTCTTGATCCATATCCACATCAGCTCCTTTAATTAATAAAATTTTACAGATTTCTGTATACCCTTTTGCAGCAGAAACATGAAGTGGCGTGTCACCATTCTTTGTTTTACAATCAATTTCGGCACCATATTCTAGCAATAATTTAACTAACTCTTCATGACCATTGTCAGCTGCAATGTGCAAGGCGGTTTGTTGATTGAGACTGACTGCATTCACATCAGCTCCTTTAATAAAAAGCATTTTACAAATTTCTTTATTTCCTTTTCCAGCAGAAACATGAAGTGGTGTGTAGCCATTATTATTTTTACATTCAATTTTCGCACCATATTCAAGCAATATTTCAACCAACTCTTCTGATCCATTTTCAACTGCAATGTGCAATGCGTGTTTTTCTTCATTAACATCAGGATGATACTTTAAAATTTCTTTAACAATCATTAAATTTCCTGCTTTAACTGCATGGTACAAAATGGTTTCCCCATTCTCATTTTGATCATTGATGTTAATTTCTTTTTGTAAAAGCTCCTTTACAATTTCTAGATGTCCTCCATAGATGGCTGAATGAAGTTGAATCATATTGTTTCGAATTATCTGCAACAATATAAGTACAAAAGAATTTTATAGTAAAAAATCAGTCACTGATTTAAATATATAGTATGTAAATAAATTTTTTTTTAAATTATCGAATGAATAGAAATTTTGTGAAATTCAACTGAAAATAATTAAATTTGTTAAAGAATTTCATTAAAAACGTTTCAACAAATCGAATTTTCAAAGTATTTTAATTTAATAATTGGTAAATAATTGAATTTTTTAAAGAGTCACATTCTAATGTACATATTCATGTTTCTTAGTGCGAAGATTAATAATTAAAATTTGTATTACTTAATTTAAAAAAAGATACAAACTTAAATTGTTTTATTAAAATTGAATTTTCGCATAGTTTTTTTCAAAATTCTGAAAAATTTTTTTTTTTTTGAAAAATTTAAGATTTTTGAAATTTTTCAATTCTATTGTTTCAAGATAATTGAATTTTTATAAACAAATAATTTAAAAAAAATTAAATAATTGAAATTTCTTTACATTCTATCAAAATTAATTAAATTCTTTTAAAGAATTTTATTTAAATTTTTCGAAAATAATCAAGGGAAGTTAGTCACCGTAATTATAATTTTATTTTTAAAAATTTCTTCGCAATATATTCAATTATTTTCATAAATACAAATAGTAAAACTCATTGCAGAATTTCAATTATATTTAATACAATTTTAATCAAATTCCTCGAAAAATACTTAATAATTCTTAAAAATGTTTTATTAAAATTCGTCGAAAGAATTCAATTATTTCTAGATACTGTAAAAAAAAATTCTTCTCAAGAATTCAATTATTTTCATAAATAGCAAAATTCTTCAGATTTACTAAATTCTTTTGAATATTATTTTTAAAAAAAATTCTTCACGAGAATTCAATTACTTTCATAAATTTCCATAAAATTCTAAAAAAAAAACCATTCAATTATTTTTTATTCAATTTATTTTTATTCTCAAAAATTTTAATAAAATTCTACGAAAACATTTAATTATTTTCATAAATAATAACATTCTTTGGAAGGATTCAATTACTTTTATAAATATAAAAATTCTTTTCAGAAATTCAATTTGTATCAATACATTTTAATAAAATTGAATTAATTAAATTTTTCAATTATAATTATAAACAGACAAGATTAGTTTAAAAAATTGAAAAAATTTTTTGTTTAATTAAATTATTTTCCTAATTTTTAATTAAAATATTACTTAAAAATTTGAAAATTAATTAAATTTCAAAAGAGTTGCATTTACAATCTTCATAAATAGGTGAACTTCAAAGGTTTCAATTTGAAATTTTAAGAACAACTGATTCTATAAATTTAATTATTTTCAAAAGTGATAAACTTCTTCGTATAAATTCAATTATGTTCAAAAATTTTTAAAAATTCTTGTCAAAATTTCAACTATCTTTATAAATAATAAAATTCTTCTCCGAAATTCAATTATTTTCAACAAAATTTAATAAAATTCTTGGCAAAATTTCAATTATTTTCAAAAATTTTCCTTATTTCAATTATTCTTAATATCTACCTACTATTTTAATATAATTTTCCAAAAGAATTTAATTATTCAATTTTTTCAATACAATTATTCTTAAGAATTCAATTATTTAAAGAAATTGGAATAAAAGAAATCAATTACTTTCATAAATAATATTAAATTTTTCTCGAGAATTCAATTATTTAAAAAAATTTTAATAAAATGCTTTATAAAAATTTGAAAAATTATAATAAAATTGATCATAGAATACAATTATTTTCGTAAAATATAACATTCTTCTTAGGAATAAAATTATTTTCAAAAATCTTTGTAAAAATCTTCAAAACAATTCAATTATTTTCGTAAAAGATAAAATTCTTCGAAGCAAATCAATTATTTAAGAAATTTTAATAAAATTCTTCCCAAGAATTCAATTCTTTTTAAAAATAAACATTTTCAAAGGAATTCAATTAGGTAATAAAAATTTTTTTTTAAAATTGTTCGTTAGATTTCAATTATTTTCAATTTTTTTAATGAAATTTCTCGATAGAATTTAATTATTTTCAAAAAGTTTAAAAAATTATGAGAAATTCAATTATTTTCAAAAATTTGAATAAAATTCTTCACAAGAAATTAATTATTTTCATAAATAATAATATTTTTCTCCAGAATTCAATTGTTTTCACTAATAAAATTTTTTCATAGGAATTCAATTCTTTAAAAAAAATTTTAATAAAATTTGTTGCAAGAATTCAATTATTTTCTCATCTTAAATTTATTATAAAACATGAAGAAATCGATTGCTCCGAGTCGAAGACTCAGAGTGATCGCTTTCTTTATGTTTTATAACAATTTTTTTAAAATTGTTTAATTTCAAAATGGTTTGAATTTGAAATTTTTGAAAATCTTAATTCCTATAGAAAAATAATAATGATTAAATATTTATTTAAAAAAGAAGTTATTAATGTTTTCGAATAATTTTACAATTAAAGAAATTCGTAAATAAACGTAATAGAATATTTTTTTGAGTACAAATCTAATCATTTTTGGAGTGAATCAGAATCTTCTTCAGGGTCAGGGAAAAAGTCAAAATTTTGTCTAGAAATCAGGGAAAACCAAAATTAAATTTTTGTGGCAACCCTGTTTATATTCGAAATCAAATAAATTTAAATTTGATAAGAAAAAAAACTGGGAATGGGTCAGAATTCGTGAAATTTTCACAGAAAATAAAAAGTATTTTTTTTAAATCGAAATGTTGAAAAAACATTTCTATTTGGCCTTAAAAATGTGTCCACCAAAAAACAGAAAAAAAATTATTTTTCATAAAAGTTATTGCAAAATTAATTTTTTTGCAACTTTTTAAACAAAATTTTATTTCTCCTAAATAAATGAACCGATTTAAATGAACCAAGCGGGAATATAAAGGGGATAAAATACACTTTCGTTTAGAATTAGAAAATTTTTAAAAAGTTTATTTTTTAAAAATTATTTAATAAATTTTTTGTAAACAATTAATTTTTTTTAATGTTCTGCGCCTTTTAAAAATTTGAAAAAAATATTAATATACACTTAAAACTATAAGAAATCAAAATCCGTTGAGAAAATTTTGGAGCGACAATTATTTTAAAAGTTATAATGAAAATTATATTGGCGCGGTGTAGTGCATCAAATAATAAACATCATTGATAAATCATGTAGAGTTGGACTCAAGTAAATTAAAAATTTTCCCCTGGGTGCAAGTAGAATTCTACGAGAAATCTCTAAAGGAAGGTTTCCTTAAACTTATCGTGTCATTAGTGTGAATGCATAGCTATATACCAGCAATAGTTATAAATATTTATACAAGTGTATATGTGTACGTATATATGTAAAAATTTATTTGAACACATGATAATAAATAATAGAAGAATTTATTTACGTGTGATTGTACATGATAGGCATGGTCAAGCACATTGGACATATAGCGGAACATGCCTTTCGAAGAATGCGTTTCCTTCCTGTCGGTGCGAAGGCCATACATGGCCTTGCAACCAACAGGTACTTTTGGACGTTGCTAATAAATATCTAAACACTATAACAAATTCGTATGGATACACTTCCGCTGAGCAACCAGCGTTCATTTTATTCTCTCGCTCTCATTCGAAACTTTCAAATAAGTAGCTGGTCTCGGATCGACTTTAAGGCAGAAAAAAAGTCGTTTTATTCGAATTCAAATACGAAAAATGTAGAAAACCTCGTTAATCTTATTAAGGATTGTCACGAAAATTTGATTTTATATTTTTCTGATTTCCAGAAAAAATTGTAACTTTCATCAACTGCAGCTCTAAATTTTTGTAAAATAGAAAAAATTTTAAGTATAGAATTTTTTTAAATCTATACTTCTTACAGAATTTTTAAACTAAATTATCTGTGGTATTTAAAACTAATAATTTTGTTTAGTGCGAATATTTAAATAATTATAATTGTTCTTTTTTCCACAAGAATTAAAAATTTCAATTTTAAACCTAAAATCCATTTTTCTGATAATAAATTCAATTCTATAGGTTTTTTTTAATATAACATTAAATTATTTTCAAAACATTTTATTTCTTCAAGAACCGCAAGATTATTTTTAAAAAATTGTGATAAAATTTGACGAAACTTACAATTGCTTAGCAATTTTTTAATTAATTACTTTTGAGAATTCAATTATCTCCAAAAAATTTTACAAAGAGATAATTTTTTCAAAGTTTCTGAATTTAATTAATCAAAAATTTCAATTACTGAAAAGTTTAGTAATTTATCAAATGCATCTTCAAATATAGAATTTTTAATTAATATAATTCCAAATTTATATCTTTAAAACCTCCAATTTGAAACCTTTTGAAATTTTATTACTACTAACAATTTTTTACTAGAACTGTTTCAATATTCAATTATTTTCTAGAATTTTTAATCCAAATTCTTTTCTAAGTCAATTATTTTTCATAATTTTTAAAAAGTTCTTTGAGACTTTTTGAATTATTCAAAAAAAAAAATAATAAATAAACTTTACTTGCAATAAAATTTAAAATTAAATTGTTTTCAATTCAATTTTACAAAATATCGATTATTTAAAAAATTTTCAATTAATTTTATTTTCAAAAATTGAACTAATTTCAAAAAGATATCAGTTTTTGAAATAAACTGACTTGTACAGAATTTTGAAATTTAATTTTTTTCAATAATTATTACTACTCCAATTCTTCCAAAATTTAATTTTTTGAATTATTAATCAAAATTTTTCTCCATGTCAATTAGGAATTTATAGGAAATTGTCGAAATAGAAAAATTCAATTTTTATATAAAATTGTCAAATGGTTTTCTTTAAGGTGAAAAAATTAATTCAATTTATTACAATTTTTAAAATAATTTTATTAATTCAAGGAATTTTCAAAAAATATAGAAAATAATTAAATTCTTTCAAAAAATTTCTTTAATTTATTGAATATAATCGATTTGTTAATAATATTGTAGCAGATTTTAATTATAATAATTTTACTATTAAAATTTTATTTAAATTATTGACAGAAAATTAAATTCTTTTAAACGATTTCATTAGAGTTTTTGTAAATAATAAAATTCTTTGAAAAGAATTTCTTTGTTTTTTTCAAAATAATGTAGTTTTTTGAATAATTTTAATTGAAGACTTTGAGAATAATTGAATCAAACAAACAACTTTCAACGTTTAAAAATAATTCTGTCTTAATTATTATAATGAAATATTTCATTATTAAAGTTTATTAAAATTGTATTAAAAATAATTTATTTCTTGAGAAGAATTTTATTATTTATAAAAAACAATTTAATACTTGCGATGAATTTTACTTCGAAAGGATATATTCGAAGAATAATGGAAGGATTTATTAAAAATTTTAGAAAACAATTGGATTCTTTCGAAAAATTTTATTAAAAATTTAAAAAAAAAAAATCGTTTCGAAGAATTAATTTAAAATTTTAGAAAGTAATTGAAGTTTTTCGAAAAATATTATTAAACATTTTTTTAAAAATTTAATTCTTTTATGAAATTTTATTAAAATTGTATTAAAAATAATTAAATTTCAGCAAAGTATTTTAATATTTATAAAAATAATTGAATTGCTTCGAAGGATTTATTAAAATTTTAGAAAATAATTGAATTCTTTCGTGAAATTTTATTGTTTGCAAAGATTTTACTATTTTAAAAGATAATTGAATTTTTTCGAAGAATTTATTAAAATTTTGTTAAAAATAATTGAATTTTTACAAAAAAATTTTTTTTATAAAAATAATTGAATTCTTGCGAAGAATATTATATTAAAATATTTGAAAATATAAATAATACCTAATAATTAAATATGTACTTAATAAGATAATTAAAAAAATTTTTAAACTGAATTTATTCAAAAATTCAAGTTTATATTTGAAAATAAAATTTTTTGTAATTTCCATTAAGTTTATTAAAATTGTATTGAAAATATAAACAATAATCATTGTAATTGTACTTGATAAGTGAATTCTTTAAATTTTGATTATAAAGTTATTCAAAAATTTATATTTGAAAATAAAAAGTTTTGTAATTTGCATAATAGGTAATAATAAATTGAATATTACGTTTAGAATTTTTGTAAAACAATGCAAGACATTTTGAATGAAAAAATGAGTTATTTTTCATACTTTAAAATCAAAACAAATAGCATTTTATAAAAAAAGTCGTATTTTGTTACAATTTATGCGGAAGAAAATGTTATTAAAATTAGTCGAAAAAAGTCCCATTTTTTGAAAATAGTCGAAAAATCCTATTTTCCGTGGTCTGATATTTATAGTTAGTGAAATTTACTGGTTTATATATGAAACTTTTTGATCTCTCGTCACACAAGGTTAAGCTCAGCCTGAATTCCTTCTGAGCATTGGAACGGTTTTCTCTTTTTAGCCTGTTGCATTGTGCATTTCATTTCCAGCATTCCAACTGACATTTTTCTTCTCCGATTTATATAAAATTATTTTATTCCTTTCTCTACACGTTGTAAAATTTTAATTTCCTCTTCTTTAAACTAATTATATTATGAATAACTGAATTTATTTTTTCTTCTTTCTTGTTTTAGGAAAACATTTGGTCTTGGTGACAGATCCTGAAATTGTTGATGATGCCTATGCATTCGATAATCCATGTTTCAAAGATGCAACACCTGCAGTTGCTCGAAGTCTCGAGAGACCGATTTCTGCCACTCCTATGGACACGCCAGCGAAGGATTCAACTCGTTGGTCAACACCTTGGTCATCCTTGGGTCTTGGAAATGGAAATCGAAATGATAAAAGGCGCACCTTGGATGACTCTTGCCTTGGAGTAATTTACACTTTTTTTCACACAATTATCTATTTCCTGGTTTCATTTATTTTCATTTAGTTGCGTCTGAAAAATAAATTCTAACATATGGAATATTTTTTCAAAGCGCTTGATTATTTCATAATTAGTTAAAATATTCATTTTGATAGAGAATTTCTTAAAAGAGAATGTTCATTTCACTGAATTTTTATTTCTCAAATTTATCTGGTCACCAAATTAATATTTCACCGAATTTTTAGTCTATTACGAAATTCAAATTCACGTATAGAAATTTTTATGACAGTAGGTTTTTTCGCGGTCAAATGAAAAATTGCTGCAAATTAAAGTTCCAAATTGAACTGAAGTTTATAACTGATCGATTTTAAGGCCAAAAAAGTCGCTTTACTCGATTAAATATATAAAAAAAATCGAAAAATTTATTTCTTTTATTCATAGTATTGTCATAAATATTATAATTTTTTATTTCCCTGACCTTTCACGGATTTCGAAAATCATTTATTCCAAATTTTTATAATTTTGTTAAACAAATATTTAAATATTTGTTATTTATTTTTTAACATAGAAATAAAAATTTATTACATTTCAATTTCCATTCTTCTGAAATTTAATTATTTTTCACAATTTTTAACTAAACTTCTTCTCCAAATCAATTATTTTTAATAATTTTCCGAAAGTTCTCTGAGAATTAAATTATTTAAATTCAAAAATTAAAATTTTTTGCCATAATTATTATTTAACTCTTTATGCTTTTTTATAGTTATTAAAGTAAATTATTAAAAATATATAATTTAAAAATTTGAAAATAATTTATTTTTAAAGAAATTGTAATCAAAACGTTATTAAAAATAATTTTTTTTTAATTTAAAAATAATTCTTGAGGAGATAAATAGATTTTTCAATTTTAAATAATTGAAAAATTTTCCAAATAATTGAAATTTAGTAAAGTTCTTAAAATATAATTAAACTTCATAAAAGAAATTTTGAAAAATATTAAAAATGAATCAACCTTTTTAAGAATTTTAATAACAAATATAAAAAAATACATGATTTCTCTAAAATTTTAATAAGTAAAAAAGTAGATTTTTGAAAAATTTTAATTAACTTATTTTTTAAAAAATTGAATTTTGTAAAATTATGATCAGAAATTGCTGAGAATTAATTAAAAAAAATTGTATTTTCATTTTTTGAAAATAATTTAATTTTTAATCAATTTAAGAAAGTAAACAATTTTTTTGACGAAATAAATATTTTCTTCAAAAATTTAATAAAAATAACTAAAAAAATTTTATTTCACTTCATTTGAAGATAATTTTTAAAAACTTATAAAATAAGACAATTCTTGAAAAGTTTTAATTTTCTTTTTTTGAAGATAATTGAATTTTGAAAAATTAGGATAAAAGAATTCTAGAAATTATTTTTTTTCAAAATACTGTAATTTAATTTTTCGAAAATAATTGAATTTTTTACAAGAATTTTTGGACAACTGAAGAAATTAATCAATTTTTTTTCAAGAATTTTAATTGAAATGTTTAAAATGTTTGTTTTCTTTAAAATTTTATTAACAATTCTACAAAAATTAGATGTTTTATAAAAATTTTAACGGGAGAATTAGTTTTTGTAGATATTTGAATTTTTGAAAATATTGAAAATAATTCAAATTTATAAAATTATAATGAAAAAAAATTCTATAAATTACTTTTTAAAAAAATATTTTAATATATTTTTCTGAAGCTTTATATTTTCAAATTTTTTAATTGATGATTTTTAATTAAAATTTTTGAGAATTGAATTATTTTAGGTAAATATTTACAATTAAAATTCATTAAAATTTGATTTAAAAAAATGTTAATGAAATATGTAAAATAAATATAGTGTATGTAATAAAATTTTTACCAAATATTATTTGAAAACTTTTTAATTATATAATCCGAAAGTTTAATTATCTTAAAAAAATTATTCGAAAATATTATTTGGTAGATTTGACTATAAAGTGTTGAGAAAATCATGTTATTCGAGGCCTTTGATAATTTAAAAATTACGTTAATACGAAAATTCCGTTAGTATATTTTTGTTAATACAAAAATTACATTAAATAATAATTTAGTGTTCTAATATCTTGTTAAATAAAAATTTCGGTCAATTTAAATTCGAAAGTGAAACAATTTTTACAATTAAATTCTGATAAACTAATATTCTAAATAATAAACATTATGTAATAATCAAGCGCTACTATTTTTCTGTACAAAATTTATAAACTTCTCTTACTTGGAAATATACTTGTTTCAAATTTTTTCCAAAATAATTTACATTTTCCATAATCCGTAGGAAATTTTACTTATAATGCTTTATTATTCAAAATAATTTTTAAAATGCCAAATCCCAAAATGAAAAAGTCATTTAAAAAGTATATACAATTTACAGAATTATTTGTGGTATTTTTTTTCTTCATAATTAAGGTGAAAGTTTCGTTTGCAATGTTCAAAGAATTTTTATAAATGTGATTATTGTTATTTTACATTTTTCTCGATTTTTAAAAGAACTTTGAGTACAATTGAAATTATATACAGAAGAAAAAGAAAAAATAGTTGAACGATAATAAAAGTAACGTGAAGGTTAAATTATTCTAATCTTGAAAAAAGAATGTAATACTTTTTCAGGCAAATGTAAAAAAATAATATATGTAAGAATTTGAGGCATAATTTTTTCATTATGAAATCATGCAAGATAATTTAAAATTAATTATATACCAAAAACATAACTTTCACAAAAAAAAGAAAATCACTAAATAATGTATAAAACTGAGAAAATTGCTGATAAAAAGAAGAACTTTAATTTCTTTTTTGTGAAAACTTTTTTTCTTAATTAATTAACAAATTTTGGATTAAATATTTTTTTTAAAAATAAGGTATATTTTTTTAGGTATATTTTTTTCAAGTAAATATTAATATAACTGAGAAGAAAATAAATATAAAACATTTATGGGCATTTGAAAAATATATTTTGAATAAAAGTCACAGATGTAAATTTTTATTGTTGATGAATCGATGATTCAGATGCTATTTGGTACAATTTTATATGCGAATTAGACGTTTCGCAATACAACCTCTAAAGTTGATAAAAGAACGAGCCCACGCGTTATTTGCTATTTATGCCTGCGCGACATAATGGAAAATGTAAGTAATACTTTTTGACGTCTCACTAATAAATAACATTTTGTTCCATTAGCCAAAGGCCACCAAGGTCAGTTGCGTGAGTCTCAGGAGTCGCGACTTTACTGGACTTGGATTTAATGTCTGTGGAAATATGAGAGAAGGTATATTTGTCAAAGATCTTCTTCATCGTGGTCCTGCCTCAGAATCTGGTCGCATTCATCCTGGTACGATTAATTATTTATATTCTTTCATTATCATTTACATTTCTTCTTTTTCCTTTCTTTTTTTTTTATCTAAAATTGCTGTACTGTATACAATAATTTTTCTTCATTCCGAATAATTTCTTATCTCTTCAAGATATTATTTTTCCTGTTAGAGATCAGTATGTGAGGAATGCTTTAGTTCAATATGATGGCTATGATAAAGTCCACAAAGAAGATTAGAAATGATTTTAATTGAGGCGTTCAATCATAATTGAATGTTCCTTATTTCGTGAATCACTCCAATGCAATTAGATGCGAGAATCACCTATTTATTTAACATCCCGAAACGAATTTCTATATGGAGAAATTTACACGCTCATTGCTCTGTTTTATTTTATTTTCAAGTACAATGTTGTTTTCATTAAATTTCCATTTTTATAATCAAAGTTGTAATTTTCAAATATGCTGAAACAATTTTTTTGTTATCTGAGAAAAATGTAAAAATTTAATTAGGAATTTATTTTTCATTACAGGTGACAGAATAACGAGCGTTAAGATCAGCTTCAGAAGTATGGTCTACGAAGATGCATTGACAATTTTGAGTTATGCCTCGCCTTACGACGTAGAATTAGAAGTGGAAAGTGGGGGAACCGGTTCGAAACCAACGACATTATTAAAAAAGAGCGTGGGCCCGAGTCCAACGAGAATTTGTCATCCACTCTATAGAAGTCAATCAATTCCTGAACTCTCACGAGCTCATATAACAGTAGCGAAAAGACTCTTTATCGCCGATCCAAACGAGTCATTAGGCTCAAATTATTCCACAATGAATTCAACACTAAAATCATCAAAGTCGACACCAGGAAGTCAAACGCTCGAGCGTCGTCATGAAGAGACAAAACAAAATCACCATAAATTTGGTATTAAAGTACTTCCCGCTCTCGATGGCACGGTTCACCGAATCGAGAATCAAAACGAGCACAATACAAATCTTGAAAGGAGACATTCACGAAAAATGGACGCCGAAAAAATTCTCGGCAAAACTTCTTCGTCCCTAGTTAAAGAATCTTCATCACCTTGCGATGAAATTAAAATTGTCTCCGAAACACTTCAACAAAAGGAAAATCCTCTACAAAAGGATATTTCTATTAAAAACGATAATTCACAACCGAAGGATAAAAATTCTCTTCAAATGGATTTGATAAATCACAAGGAAACAGTAGAAATTACAAAAAGAATTTTACGAGTCGATGGAACAGAATTAAATGGAATTGACATTCCCGATCTTGGTAAAGAAATAAATATGTCAACTCAAGTTCCTGCGGAAGTTCACAATGCCGCAATGGCCGCTCGAAGGAATCGAAAGAATAGCGCGGAACTTTCTAAAATTCCAAAATCACCGACAATTTCCATTGAAATTGAAACAGACGCAAAAAGTCCACAAAAAAATAAAAGAAAAGCTCCAGCCCCACCGAAAATCAATCTCGAAGAACTTGATGTTACATCAATAAAAAAGGAGCGCGAGTCAGAAGATAAAATTGACTCGATTGCTGATTACACTGAATCATTGAATGATTACGTCAGCAAAGTGCGCGAGAATAAAGATGACGAGGCTCGTAGACAGAGGCTTGAAGCGAGAGCGAACAGAAGGAATTCAGAGTCCGACACGGACAGTGAGGTTCAAAACAGTTTCACGACAATTGAATTAAATCCGGCCGACATTACAATACATCATACACCAGTGCCTGAGGTCGACGATGACGAAGTCGATGACATCTACAGAAAAGCAGCGAGTCTAGGTGATCTTTCAAAATATGAAAATAAAACATCGACAAATTTAGAAAGGGCTCAGAGTCTTGATATGACAGATACTGGCTCAAAGAAACGAAAAGCACCATTACCGCCCGAAGATATCAACGAATCAACCGAGGATCTTACGAAATTAGATCAAATCGATACGTTCGATAAACGAAAATTAAAAAAATCCAGTGAGTGGGGAACATTAGAAGACGCAATTTGGTCGAAGGGCGAAATTGAGGATAAATCAAAGAAAACAAGAGTGAGGAAAAAGAGTAACGGCACACTGGAGCGATCAAAGTCAGCCGTCGAGATGAAAATCAAGGACGAAGTCCAGGACACCGACGATCCTGTGAATGTGTCCGACGGTGCTATTGCAACCACAATTGATTTATACAATTTACCACTCAGCAAACGAATGAGTCAGGACTTCATTCATTCCGAAAGGATGTTCAATCCCGATGCAGATAATTCCCTGGCGAGAATTGTCAACAACGGACGTGTCGTCAAGAGTCCAACTCCCGAGGAAGTCGAATTAGACTTCAGGCAAGCGAAACCCATGCCTGACGATATCGACGACGCGAATCCATTCAACGATCTCGAGGACAGGGACATTGACAAGGACAACAAATTCGTGAACGAAGGATTTGAAAAGGCTTTGCATTATTTTGATCTTCACACCAAGAATTCAAATCCATCGAAAGAGTTTGTCAGTTTTGAAGAATCGAAAGAAAAGGATTTATTCAACAGTGATCCAAAGTTATTGTACAAAAATGAAGAACCAGTTGAGGAGATATTCACCAAGGTCAAAATTGACTACTTTTGTCCCGGTTGTGAAAAGAGATTTGGACATCATACCGACAATTGCAAGCGAAACACTTTTACCACAAATGGCAAAAGAACAGACGATCATTTAGAACTCCAAAAGGCCGAAATAGAATCCGATCAAGTGAATCATGTATTAGAGGATTTAAAAAACAGTAAAAACGAATCCGAAACTTATCCAGACAGTCACGTTCAAAAACCGGAAAAGTTTCAAGCTACAAGAGATGAAGAAGAAGAAACTCCAGTTGTTTCAATTTTCCAAACTCATCTCACAAAATTCGAACAAAATTCCTCACCCGACAAATCCGATTCATATGAAACGCATTTTGCCAAACGAATAGTGAATCTCCCCGAGGAGAAGGACGTGGAAATGATTCTCGACGATCAAGACGAAGACGGTTATGATTTCGGTTCAAGTATAACAGTGAACAATAAGAATATCTCGCCGAATGAGGATCGTCACAACATAAGCAATGTCAGTGTGTCAAGTGGCGAAAATAGTGAAGACAGTGGTTTAGTTCGAGAATCCATCGACTTCCGGCTAGATTCAGAGACACGTCCACCATTACCAACAACTCCAATGCCAGTTTCGGCTACACAGAAAATGACCTACATCACCGAGATAAAAGTATCGCCCACGAGGGAAAACATTCACGAGCCCGACAGCGAAAGTGAAGAAATTGTCGCAATTATGGAGGGAAATGGCGAAGCAAGAAAGTCACAAGTCGACATTATTGTGACGGCAAATGGAAAACCAACGCCGGGAAAAAAACCGCCAGTACCGCCGAGACGCAGTGATGTTTCAAAACTCATCAAGGATGAAATATCAGACAAGCAAGTTGTCTATGTGTCAGAATATAAATCACCATCAACGAAGGATGTTCAAATATCATCGAGTGCCTCGGACGATAAAACTGCAGGTGTTAATAAAAAATTTGAACAGTGGATATTTCTAGGCGACAATAAAGAACAGAATCCATGGGGCAATGGATCAAGTCCACCCCAACCGGTTACAAATATTGTCCTCTCATCCGGAGATGAGAAAATTTTACATCAATAATAAATTGAGTAATTCGATTCAGAAATTATTCTTCTTCGATTTAAATAAAATCGAAATCAAATTTTGTTTTAAAAAAATTCAAATCACCGTCTATCAGGATTGCCAGAAAAATTTAATTCTCTTTTTCCCTGAATTTCAAAAAAAAAATGTCTTTTTTCTGACACTAACAAATATTCTAATTTACTCTAAAAATTATTACACAAAAAAATGTTTCTAATACATTTATTTGGGGACGCATAAATATCCCATAAAATTTTTTTGTTAGAATCTTTATTCAAGAAAATTTTCATATATTTGAATATTTAATTTTGTTTTTAAATCAACGTTAATTTTTACTTAACGAAAATTTCACTTAACAGAATTAATATTCTGTTAACATCAAAATGTTAATTATAGCCGACATTTTATTTGACCAAATTTCTAATTACATAATCCACTTTTTATTTTTAAAAAATCATTTTTAATTATTATTTAATAATTAACTATCAAATGTTACCCGAGCGAAACGCGGTATTCAATTTATTATTATGCAAATTACCACATTTTTTTATTTTCTAATATCAACTTCAATTTTTGAATAAATTCATACTCAAAATTTTAAAAACTTAAGTAATTATGTACTTGTACATAATTAATTATTATTATATATTCTTTTTAAAATTATAGTAAAATTCTTCACAAGAATTCCATTATTTTCTAAAATTGTAATAAAAATCATTAAGGAACAATTCTATTATTTTATTATTAGTAAAATTCTTCTCAGGAGTTCAATTATTTTAAAAATGTTAAATTAAACTTATTAAAAAAACTCCATTATTTTTAAAAGATTCAAAGAAATTCTGCAAAACAATTTTTCAAAATTTTCAATTAAAATTATTAAAAAAAAACTCCATTTTTTTCATAAAATTCAAAGAAATTCTTCCAAACAAAATCCAATTAATTTTAAAAGATTTTAACAAAATTTTCCTAAAGAATTCAATTATTCCCATAAATAATGAAATTTTTCTCTAGAATTAAATTATTTAGACGGAATTTTGTATTATTATTTATATTAATTAATAATCAATTCAATTGTATGTTCAAGTAATGAATAATATTAATTATGATAAATTGATTAAAGTTATTTGTCAATTTTAACATTTGCGCTCAAATCTTTTTGTCAAACAATTGTTTGGAAAATAAAAATTCTGTCAATTGATATTTCGACATTTGGAGAATTCTGTCAAATTATAATTCGTGAAAATAAAAATTCCAACATATGAAGTTTCGATGGAATGGAAATTTGAATATTTAAAAATTTAATTCTTAAAAATTGTGTTAAATAAGATTTCTGACAAATTAAAATTCATTTAAATTATATTTCTTTGGAATAAATTGATTGTTTATTAATAATTTAGTCAAAATGAAAATTCTGTGAAATAAAAAGTCGATGATCTTAAATTCTGTTAAGTAAAATTTTCACTATGTAAAAATTCCTGTTAATTTACAATCGAAATTAATATATTCAACTAAATGAAAATTTTTTCTAACAAAATTATGTTCATTAAATATTCTGAATAACAATTTTTATAGAATATTCATGCGCTTAATTTATTTGAGAATATTCTCTATATTGTAAAGTTATGCGAAACTTGAACATTTTTTGTTTTAAATAAATATTTAATCATTATTATTAGGTATTATTTTTCCACAAGAATTGAGATTTGCAACAATTTCAAATTTAGTTTGTCAAGAATTAAATTATTTAAAATAAATTCCTTTCCATATTTTGTGAAATTTTAATTTATCAAAATATGAAAAAGAATCTATTTTAAATAATTATTGTCAGAAATAGAAATAAATTTGAAGGTTTTGTATTAAAATTCATGGTGATTGTAAAGACTTATTTTTTAAAGTTCTTATTTTTCCAGTTTTTTGTACAATTCTTAATTAAATTGATCGTTTGACCAAAGCAATTAATAATAATTTTTTATTATTTTCTCTTAATGATTTAAAAGTTTTTGAATTGAACAAGAAAGAATTCAAGAAAAATAAATGCGTTTAATATTTTTAAATGAAGCAAATTTTCTGAATAACAAAAACAAGAATATTTCTTATCAATTTTATAAATTTAATACTTTTCTCAGTATTTTCGATAAAATTCCCTGATCTATGGCAATCCTGGTATTGTTTAATTTGTGATAAATTGTATTTAATTTAATTTCAAATTAATTTCTAACCTAGATTATTTAATCTACTGACTATCGAATCAATAGAAGATTTTAAATTTCTGATTCTTTGTGATTTTAAAACAAAAATCAAAATTTTTCAACTTGAATAATTAAAACGTTAGAAAATTATTACGAACGAGTGGTGAAGATATCTTGTTTCTTAAGTTCTGAAACATTCATGTCAAAGATATTTTCATTTTTTGTATGTGTAAATTAAGAAAAAGTTATTATTTTACATGAACGTTAAAACTTTCGAAAATATTCTTTCATTAAGAGAAGGGAGCAGTGAAATTTTAACCATTTATAAGTTATATAATTTACGATACAGGTGTCAATTTTTCTTTGATATTATTTACATAGAATCAAAAATTATTCTGTATCAATAAAATTTAAAAAATATATTTTTGACAAACTTGGAATATTTATTTTTTGAAAAAATAAACATTTTTTAACAAATTATACGATTGATTATTTGGAACCATGAGGAAAGTATGTACAAAAATTAACTTGATAGAAAATAATAGAAATTGTAAAAGAAGTTAAAATTGTGATTTTACAAAAATTTTTTGTTTTTTCAAAAAATAAATTTTTACTTCTAAATCATAATTTTATAAAATTTTTAAAAATAAATTGACATCCTAAAAAAAGTAAATTTCGTTGGACTGAAATTTCATTCATTCTCTACTCAAACTTTGAACTAAAAAAATTTTAATTTCTCGTAAAATATTATAAAAAGAAACAAGTATCTACTTATTTCAAAAATTTTAATTGTATCGATGTATTTTACAATGTCGAAAAATATTTACAATTTCGTTTACAGGGATCACATTTGTTAGTTTATTTAATATCAGATACTAACGAGGGATTTAAATAAAAAAAAACTGTCCGAATTTTTCAAATTTTGTAAAATAGGTATAAAAAACAAAAAGAACAAAAAGTTTTTAAAGTTTTCAGAAATTAAAAATTTTTCAAAAGTTTGAAAAAAGTGTTAAATATTTAATTTTTTTTATATATAAAAAAGAAGTAAGGACTTTCGGTGTTTTAGGGGATTTTGTTAAATTTAAGGAAAGGAGAAAAGGAAACAAACAGATCCCTGTTGTTAAAATTTTATTTTTTACGATTGTTTATTTGCTTCTATATTAAAGAACATAATAAGCAATAATGTATTACTTTATCAAAATGTTAAAAATGAATGAATGAAAATTATTTTGAGTTAAAAAAAAGTATGTGCCATAATAACTTATGAGAGTCTGGCCAACACTGTTTTCTATATTAAGAAATAAATTCAAAATTTTGTTGAAAAGAGGGAGAATGATTTTTTTGTTTGTCTATCAGTAAAATAGAATAATCTAAATTTTATATATTATAATTGTACATATTTAATTATGTTGATTCAAATTTCTCGACATTAACTAATTACTTTACAAAAAAAAGTTTTCAGTTATAAATAGTTATTTGATTTGTTTGTTTTATTTTTAAGTTCTTAAACGTAATATATATTTACTAATAGGGTAAAAAAAAGAAAATTTAACGTTTCTATGACAATGATGAAAGAAATCAAAAATTATTATTACAATTATCACACATCATATTTTATTTATTTTTACTATTATCACTACACTATCATTAAAAGTCAATTGAAGCTTGAAAATAGAAAGAAAAAAATACTAAATCATATATTTTAAAAAAAGAATTCAAAAAATTGTATTTTTACCTGAACATCAAAGAAATTTTTACGTCAATAAACGTTTCCATTGTATTTAATGTATATTAATTAATATTAAGACAATTAAAATTAATATTGTCGACAATAATAAATTTCAAGATTAAGATGTATATTATTAGTTTTAAGAATGGTGCCACAGAAATATATTTTTATATTTGGCAAGTTGTTAGTCTTGGAACTGGAAACTTTATCTTGATTAATAGAATAACAAATATTTTATAAAACTATTTTGTAATTGTTCATTATATTTGTAAAGAGATCATTATAGCTTTTCTGACTGTAAGGCCAATGTTATTGAAATAATGCCTGATACACGAAGTTTTAATAAAATTGTTTTAAGATTACAATTTTCAAAATAATTGTCATTGCTTTTAAAATAAAGAATTAAATCTTCAGTGTTTGTATGTGAAAGAAAAATGTTGTGCATTGTAATTAACGAAATAGTAAAAATTTGTGTCCATTCAATATTTTGTACTTATTTTTACTTGATTTAATCAGAGAACAAGATTCAACTGATCATAATAAAGAGAAATGTGAATGATGGTAAGAAATTTATCATTGTTTTGAGGTGAATTCTATAAAGACGGAAGAATGTAATCTGATTAAGGAATTGTTAAATGATATTATTTGGTATTGTATATTTTGATTTTGTATGAATAATTCTATCATTAAAACACGTATGACGAAAAATATTAAATCAGATCATTTTTAAAATCCTCTTATTCTATACTTCTCAGGGCTCGAACCAGTGAAAGTATTTAAAAATACGGACTTTACGGAGCAAAAATGAAAAATTAAATTATTTTTAACTAAAATTCTTCTTTAAATCGATTATTTTTAATAATTTTAGAAAAAGTTATTTGACAATTTTCAAATCCATTTGTTTACAATATTCAATTTTACGAAATTTCAATTATTTCTAAAAATTCACGCTATATTGCTTTTAATATTCAATTATTATGTATCTACAATTTTTACTGAAATTGATTTTTAAATCAATTTTTATTAGAAAATTCTACTGGAATTCAATTTAATTGAATGTTTCTTAAAATTCAATTCCCAGAAAGAATTTTATTAACAAAATTTTATATAATTGAATTCTTTCGACAAATTTTAATACAGTTTTTAAGAATAATTAATAATAATTATATTTTTGGAGAAATTCGACTGAAATTGTATTAAAAATAATTGAAATTCTGCGATGAGTTTTAATATTTGGGAAAATAATTGAATCCCTAAGAAGAATTGTATTATTTTCAAAGAATATTTAATTTTTGTGATTCAATTATTTTGAAGAGTATTAACACTTGAAAATAATTGAATTTCTGCAATAATTTGTAACTTTTCCAAAATTAAATTTTTTCTCGTGTTTTTAACTAAAATAATTCTTCTATAAATGCATTATTTTTAATAGTTTTTGAAAAATTTCTTTGAGTATTTTCAAATTCATTTGCTTACAATTCAATTTTAGAAAAATTTAAATTAAAAATCAGCAATTAAACTTTTTCAAAAAAATTAATTCCATAGAATTGTTAGTTAAAAATATGAAAAATTCAGATTTTCAATGATTTTAATTTGAGACCTTTTCAAAATTCAAGCTCTAATGCTTTTAATATTCAATTATAATTTAAAATTTTAACTGAAATCCATTTTTAAATTTTATTTTTTATTTGATGAAAATTGTATTAAAAATAATTGAAATTCTGCCAAGAATTTTATTAAAATTTTTGAAAATAATTTAATTTCGGAGAACAATTTTATTATTTATAAATATATAATTGAAATTTTGACGAGAATTTTTGTAAATTTTTTAACATAATTGGATTTCTGCGAAGAAAATAATTGAAATCTTGAGACGAATTTGATTAAAATTTCTTTTTAAATAATTGAATTTTGGAGACAAATTTTATTATTTATAATTGAAATTTTAAAGAGAATTCTTGTAAATTTTTGAATATAATTGGATTTCTGCGAAGAAATTAATTGAATTCTTGAGACGAATTTTACTAAAATTTTTTTTTAAATAATTGAATTCTTTTGTGATATGTTATTGAAATAAATTGAATTTTGACAAATTATTGAAATTAATTAAATTTCTACGAAGAATTTTATTAAAATTATTTTGAAAAACATTGAATTTTTATTAAAATTTTTGAAAATAATTTAATTCTTTGAGGAAATTTAATTAAAAATGTATTGAAAATAATACTTAAATATTGTAATAAATAAATAAATTGTAGCAAAGGTTTTTAAAATAATTGAATTCTTTGGATGAATTTTAATAAAATTTTTAAGAATAATTACATTTTTCGAGGAATTCGATTAAAATTGTATTAAAAATAATTGAAATTCTGCAATGAGTTTTAGTAGGTATGTATGAAAATAATTGAATGATGCTGAAGAAATTAATAAAAAATTCGTTAATAATTGAATTCCTGTGGAATTTTTATTATTTTATGAAAATAATTAAAAGTTTGCGTAGAATTTTATTCAATTTTTTTAAATTTAATTCTTTTGGGTAATTTTATTAAAATAGATATTGAAAATCATTGAAATGAGGAAAATTTTTGAAAATAATTGAAATTTTCCCAAGAATTTTATTAAAATTTTTTTACGGACTTTTTTAAAAAAAAACTGGCTTGTACGGACTTAAAGCAAATTTACGGACCTAGTTCGAGCCCTGTACTTCTTCATAATAAATGATAATTTACAGAAAAAATAGATTTTCTCTTTAATAATATTATCAGATTTTACATTTAGTGTATAAACGAAAATATTCTTTTATAATTACATCCATGTTTTATTTCATTTTTTTTCTCGAAAATATTAGTCTATTTTTATAAAAATTTCTTTTTACCTCTGAATTCATTTTGAATTGTAGTTATTCTTGAAAATTTCACGTAGAAGACTGTCTGTAACATTTAGTGTCAATCATTTTTTTGCCGCACATCGCACAGATTCCCTTTTTATAAGCACAAGATTGGCAATAATGAGAACCAATTTGATGAACCTTCTGTCTGCAGATCCTACAAATTTCGAATTTCGATGTATAGGGATTGAAACGTCCTTTTTTTGAGGTGAGTGCCTTGTTTTCGCCAATTTTTCGTCCACCGTTTTCAGTTGTATTCCGAGCTCCTGCTTTCCATGGATCTGGTGTTATTACTTTGCCTAATTTCTTTTCACATTTGTCGCAAACCATTATTTAATTAATCTAGAACAAATGTTTCCAATATGTAAATTAGTTACAATTCAAATTTCATAATTTACATATGAATAAACGTGTAAATGTAAATGAAAATAAATGAAATGAATAAACCAGAGTAAACATAAAAAGTGAGGTTATGTTTGTACTTTCATGACTTTCATATGGGAAAATTAATTGAAAATTACTTACACAATTAGTAAAACTGGAATTAACTAATTCCGCAAAGATATTTTTTCTTTAAATAATTATGAAATTCACTTTGATAGTAGAAATTCGCTTACAATTTTCGAATTTCAATTGTAACGCAGATTCACACAAAAATTGATAGCAAAATAATTTCAAGTTTATCTTACAATATATTTTATAACTTAAAACAGAAAAACTAATAAACAGTTGTTTTAAACACTATAGTGATTAATAATTCCTGATATTTACATCTACTGTTCGTCAATCTTGACAATTGATAGAATTGTTATTGTTAAAAATTGATGATTTTTGTTTGAGAGACCTCAAGGCGGTTTTACAAATTGCGTTCATGACCGACTGCCTTAGGGCGGACTTCCCACAATGCATCAAATTATTCAAATTTTTTTCTTTTACTTCAAAAACAAAATCAGAAAAAAGTTTTAAATATATTAGAAAAAGTTCTTTCCTTATATAAAAAAAGTTTTAATTTTTATTAAGAAAACATATTCAGCAAATTTTTTTTTCATTGATTTTTAAAAATTAAGAAGGTGTTTGCAATTAATTGTGATTGAAAACTAAACAATTATTATTATTATTATTATTATTATTATTATTATTATTATTATTATTATTATTATTATTATTATTATTATTATTATTATTATTATTCGATTTTTCAATTAGAAAATTTAATTCAAAATGAAACTGAAAATTGTTGAATTTTTAGAAAATAATGAAAAAAATTTTATTGAAAAAAATGTTCTGTTTTTTATTATCTAAAATTTAAACTAAAATTCATTTTTAAATTAATTTTTATTAGTAAATTCTATACTAGAATTCAATTATTTAAATACAAAAAAACAATTTATTGAATAATTGCATGTTTCTTAAAATTAAATTCTCATAAAGAATTTTATCAATAAATTTTTAAAGAATTAAATTCTTTGGACGAATTTTAATAAAATTTTTAAGAATAATTACATTCTTCGAGGAATTCAATTAAAATTGTATGAAAAATAATAAAATTGAAATTCTTCGATCAGTTCTATTATTTATAAAAATAATTAAATGATGGCGAAGAAAATAAAAAATTCGTAAATAATTGAATTCCTGTGAAATTTTTATTATTTTATGAAAATAATTAAAGGTTTGCGTCAAACTTTATTAAAATTTCTTTTAAATAATTTAATTCTTTTGTGTAATTTTATTAAAATAGTAGATATATTGAAAATCATTGAAATGAGGAAAATAATTGAAATTTTGACAAAAATTTTATTAAAATTTATGAAAATAATTGAATTTTGAAGAATTTTTTTATTTATAATGATAATAATTGGGATTTTGTCGAAATTTTTTTGTAAATTTTGAACATAATTGAATTTTGTGATAAGAATTTTAATACTTTTGAAAATAATTTAATTTCTGCAATCATTTGCAACTTTTTCAAAATTCCATTTTTTTAGTGTTTTTAACTAAAATTCTTCTATATAAATCCATTATTTTTAATAATTAATTAAATATATAAATATTGACAAATTTCATTAATTTCAGAAGATTTTGAATTATTAAAATTTTTCAAAAATCTAAGTTCATTAAAATTTCTAATTAAATTTATTCAACATTGAAATTTTATAAAATTTATTTATGAAAATTGTAAACTCAACTATTTTAAAATTGAATTAATTTTAAAATATTTAAATAAAATTATTCATTGAATAATTTATTTATTTTATGATAGTTGTTCAAGATTTAAGTTATTTAAAAAGAAATTTTTGTCAGAAATTGGAAAAATTTAAGGTTGTGTATTAGAATTCGTGGTAATTTTATAGTTTATGAGTCAAACAAAAAAGACACAGAAGATCAGAATTTTCTTATGAATTTTAAAAATTTAATTTTTTTCAGTACTTTCAATAAAAATTCCCGACTTTTCCCTGAATTCCCTATGTCAGAATATATGATTATTATAATTTTAATAATAAATTAATATTAAAACTATATATTCCAATGCATATTTTATTTAAAAAAAAAATTTGAATTACAAATTTTTACGTTCTATTATTTTTAAAATTGCTAATTTTATTTAAAAAAAGTGAGCGAGAAGTAAGCCGCCTGGGAATTGTTGCTAGTTTTATAATTATTATTAAGAAATCAATATATATCAAATTATTATTTATCTTACTTTTAAAAAAGAAATTAAAATATGAAAGTTTATGCCGTATGTCCCTTTTTTCTTTAATTCGCCAGAAAATTATCTTAAAATATAGAATAATTTCTAACTGAAAAAGAGGAGAGCAGTTAACTAAGGATTAGAATTATTTATAGGAAAACAATTTGTAACGAGTCTTTCCCAATAAATTTTGAACAAAATAATTTTTTATTACAAATACAATACTTACTTAATATTAATTCTGATTATGTATATATAAGTATAAAAATACCAAACTTAAATATATTATTTCCTATTCTCCAGGAATAAAGAACTTCTATTAACTTTATGATGAATTTTTTGATTTAGTTTCTCATTTATTTTACCTTATATTTTTAAATATGTTAATTAATATTAACTTTACAAAAAAAGTGTAACAATTTTTAAAGAACAAAAAAATTCATATAAATAGAGAAAAAAATAATTTCGAAGGAGCATTTGCGTAGTAATTTTCTATATTACAAAAAAACAGATCTGCCTATCTAAAATTCCTTCAAACTAATTGTAAGTTTACTTGTCAACAGGGAGACATGTTTTAATTAAAATACTTAAGTCCTTGTTATTTAGGTAACTAAGTATTTTTTCAGTATAGCATTGTGGTGACTCGGTAAAGTTGTTACATAAAAGAGGAAAAATTTTATAACATTTGTCTAGTAACTCTCTTCTTCTCATACCCTTTAGAAAATTACATTCTATCATGTTGCCGTAAATTGGAAACTTTCTTTTATAATTCAATGATTTTAGAGTCTGCACAATATTCTCATTTTTCATGTACATTGCTAATAAGCAATCTTTACTTAATATGTCAAAAAAAGAAATGTATGTGTTATTAATTTTTTCATGCTTCAAGGATAATACTTCTTTCTCGCATTCTTGCTGAAAATCACTTCCTATAAGACTGTCGCTAAAAAATAATAGACTGTTTTCGCTTACAAATAAATTTGCCGTTTTTCTTTTAATTAAGTTACAATCAATAACTTTACGCAATTCACTAGGTACATTATAATTACGATATTTACAATCAATTTCGGCACCAAATTCAAGCAATAATTTTACTAACTCTTCATGACGACGTTGAATTGCATAGAGCAAGGCAGTGCCTTCATAATCATTTATTGCATTTACGTCAGCTCCTTTATTCAAAAGCATTTTACAGATTTCTGTATTTTTAGTTTGAGCAGAAAAATGAAGTGGTGTGTCGCCATTATTATTTGTACATTCAACTTCTGCGCCAAATTCAAGCAATATTTCTACAAAACTTTTATAACTATGTTGAGTTGCAATGTGTAATGCTGTTAATGAATTCTCTAGCTTAGCATTTACATCAGCTCCTTTTTTCAAAAGCAATTTACATGTTTCTTCCTCTCCAATACCAGCAAAATGATAAAATAGTGTGGTGCAATCATTGGATTTAGAATCAATTTCGGCACCGTATTCTAATAATGTTTGTATGACTTTATCATTACGTTCTTTAATTGCAATGTTCAATGCTGTTTCTGAATTCTTTTTCTTAGCATTCACATCAGCTCCTTTATTTAAAAGTATTTTACAAATTTCATGGTTAGGTGAATCAAAACCCCTTGTAGCAGAAATATGAAGAGGTGTTACGCCATCTTCAGTTTCTGAATTAACTTTAGCGTTAAAATCTAGCAATGTTTTTACAATTTCTTCTTGACCATGTAAAGTTGCAATATGCAATGCGGTGTATGAATTCTTATACTTAGCATTTATATCAGCGCCTCTATTCAAAAGCATTTGACAGATTTCTTTTCTACTTAATTCAGCAGAAAGATGAAGTGGTGTCCTGCCATCAACAGTTTTAGTATTAACTTTGGCGCCAAAATCTAGCAATATTTTTACAACCTCTTGATGACCATAATCAGTTGCAGAATGCAATGCGGTTTCTGAATTCTTTTTTTTAGCATTTATATTTGCTCCTTTATTCAAAAGTATTTCACATATTTTCTTATTTCCTCTTGCAGCAGAATGATGAAATGGTGTGCTGCCATCATTTGTTTTAGAATCAACTTCGGCACCAAATTCTAACAATAATTTGACAATCTCTTCATGGCCATTTACAGCTGCAAAGTGCAAAGCAGTGTATGAATTCAAATCCTTAGCATTTACATTTATATTACGTTCCAATAGAACCTCAACAATTTTTACAAGTCCATTTTGAGAAGCGTTATGAAGTGCTGTTCTATTATATGAATCTATTGAATTCACATTGGCGCCCTTACTTATAAGAATTGAAGCAATTTCTTTTTTAATATTATTATCATCATCAGAATAGTTTTTCATAGTTGTATAATGCAATGCGGTTCTTCCATCCCGGCCAGAATAGTTAATATCAACATCATATTTTAGTAATTCTTGGACAATCTTAAAACATCCTTTTTCAGCTGCAGAAATTAAATGCTGAGGATTTTCTGCATCTATGGATTTGACATTAAATCCATATTCTACAAGAACTTGAAAAATCTTTTTATTCTCATCTCCATCTCCATTCAATGCAGTTATAAGAGAACTACTATTGCCTACATTATTAATATCAGGATTATATTTTAATGCCTCCTTAACAATTATTAAGTTTTTCGATTCAACTGCATAGTGTAGTATGGTCTTACCAGTCACATCGTGATCATCAATTTTAATATTTTCTTGTAAAAGCTCTTTTACAATTTCTTTATCTCCACAAGACATAGCATAATGAAGAGGAAGATTTTTATGTTGAAACATCTGGAACAAAACAAAGAGTATTTGGATTCCATGTTAAAATTCTTTTACATGTGGGTCAAACCATTATATTTCGAATAGAGTCGTTGCGGCCTAATTTTTAAAAAAATTGATACTTTTAGAAATGAATCTGTATGATCTCTGAAGAACGAAATGAAAAGAATTATATTAAAATATTTATTACTTTTCTTAAAATATGAGTGTAAAGTGGAGAAGGTGCAGAGAAATGGCACCTTTTTAGCAATTAGAAAATATTTTAAAAAGTATTGAAAAATTCTTAAAAGTGCAAAAAGATTTATTGATTCATGTTTAAAATTAGTTGATTAATTATTCTTTAATAATAAAACTAGTAAAAATATAAAAATAATAGATAAAATATGTTTTTAAATTCGATCCGCCAAATAACCTAATTTTGACGTTTTTATCAATTAATTACTAGAAGGTTTTTTTTTTATTTTTCTTTAACGGAGTTTTTAAGTTGTAAAGTACGCAAAAATTTAGAAATCGCGTACTTTCAACTCAATATTTCTTGTATATTTAAAGGAAAAATTAAAAAAGTGATAAGAAATTCTGAAAGTTCATAAAAAATACTCTATATTCGGTGAGTTTTTATTTAATTCAATAATTCCACCTTCTCGTAATTAATTGATAAAAACTTCAAAATTAGGTTATTTGGCGGATCGAATTTAAAAAAATATTTTATCTATTATTTTTATATTTTTACTAGTTTTATTATTAAAGAATAATTAATCAACTAATTTTAAACATGAATCAATAAATCTTTTTGCACTTTTAAGAATTTTTCGATACTTTTTAAAATATTTTCTAATTGATAAAAAAGTGCCATTTTTTCGCACCTTCTCCACTTTACACTCATATTTTAATAAAAGTAATAAATATTTAATATAATTCTTTTCATTTCGTTCTTCAGAGAATTCAATTGAATTGAATTGAAAATCTGTTTAGTATGTAACGAAAATAATAATTAAGTTCTCTTTATTAAAAATTATTTTCTACAAAAATACAAAAAAAAAAAAAAAAAAGTCAGGGAAAAACAAAATTAAATTTTTGTAGATTTGTATCTACAAAAATTTAATTTTGTTTTTCCCTGACTTTTCCCTGATTTTCAGACAAAATTTTGTCTTTTTCCCTGACTTTAAATAATATTCTGATTCACTCTAAAAATAATTATAATACTCAAAAAGATGTTCTGCTTGTTACATTTATTAAAGAATTTCTTTAATTGTAAAATTATTCGAAAACATCAATAACTTCTTTTTTAAATAAATATTTAATTATTATTATTTTTTATTCTCTTAAAATTAAGATTTTTAAAATCACTCCGAGTCTTCGGAGCAATCGATATCTTCGTTTTATAATAAGTAAAATAAGTAATTTTTTAAAAATTATTTTCATCATTTCAATTCAATTATTATGTTCTAAAATTTTAAAATAAAATTCTTTAAATAAATTATTTTTAATAATTTTCAAATTCATTTTTGTTTACAATTCAATTTTACGAAATTTCGATTATACGGAAATTCTCCAATTAAATATACATTAGAAAATAAAAACATGAAATAATTTTAAAAAATTGCAATTACTTTTTGAAAAAAATTAGTTCCATAGAATTTTCAATTAAAAGTAAGAAAAATTCAAACTTTCAAAGATTTTAATTTAAAAACTTTTACAAAATCCAATTATTTCTAAAAATTGCAATTATTAGTAATTTATTAGTCTTAAAAATTGAATTCTTATACATAATTCTATCAACAAATTTTTAAATAATTGAATTCTTTCGACGAATTTTAATAACATTTTTAAGAATAATTACATTTTTCGAGGAATTCGATTGAAATTTTATTAAAAATAATTAAAATTCTGCAATGAGCTTTATTATTTATGAAAATAATTAAATTATCGCGAAGAATTTTATAAAAAAAAAGTTTCAAACAAATGGTTTTTTTCAAAAAAATTTATGCAAATTCTATTTTTAATAATTCAATTCCTGTGAAATTTTTATTTGCTTGAAAAATAATTGAATGTTCGTGTAAAATATTGTCAAAATTTTTGTTTGATAATTGAATTCTTCTGGGAAATCTTATTAAAACAGTAGAATATTGAAAAATCATTGAATTAATAAAATTTTTTTAAAATAATTGAATTTAATTACTTTTAAAAATAATTGAATTCTTATGACAAATACTATTATTTATGAAAGTAATTAAATTTTTGCAATTAGTTTTATCAAAATTCCTTAAAAGTAATTGAAAAGTTGACCATTTTTTTTTTTGGATTCTTTAAAAATAATTGAATTTCTGAGAAGAATTTTATTAATTTTGAAAATATTTGAATTCTTGTGATGAATATTGTTATTTATGAAAATAATTGAACTTTACAATGAATTTTACTATTTATAAAGATAATTAAAATGTTGACGAGAATTTTCTAAACATTTTTGAAAATAATTAAATTTCTGGAAAAGTTTAATATTTATTAAGATACCTAGTTGAATTCTTTCAAATAATTGCGTTAAAATATTTAAAATTGAAACTAATTTGAATAGAATTGAAATTAAGGTTTTTCAAAAAAAGACACAAAAAATCAGAAATTTGTTATAAATTCTAAAAATTTAATAAAAATCCCTGACTTTTTCCTAATTTTCCTGACCTGTGGCAACCCTGTAGAATATTTATTTTATAAACTAAAATATTCTTTCCTTTTTAATATCTCATCGTTTTATTTCTATTCAAAAATATAATTTAAAAAAATTTTCTATTTACCCGAGTATTCATTTTGAATTGTAGTTTTTTCTCAAATTTTCACGCGGAAGACTGTCTTTAACATTTAGTGTCAATCAATTTTTTGCCACACATCGTACAGATTTTCCTTTTCATAATTAAAATATTGGCAATAATGCAAATTGCCATGTATGTTTTCGCCGATTTTACGTCCAACGCTTTTAGTTCTGTTTGAAACTTCTGCTTTCCATGCGAATCTGGTGTTATTACTTTGGCTAATTTTTTTCACATTTGTCGCACACCACTACATAATCAATCTAGAATAAATATTTGGCATATGTAAATTAGCTGCAATTCAAATTTCATAACTTATTTTGTAAAGAAATGACACAATTATTTCGGAAATGAATAAACATAAAAAGTGAGGTTAAGTTTGCAATTCCATGTAAAATAATTGAAAATTACTTACACCATTAGCAAAAATAGAATTTATTAATTCCACAAAAATGATATTTTTTCTTTATATAATTATCAAATTTACTTCGACAGTAGAAATTCGCTCATAAACTTTAAATTTTATATCATATATACCAGGTGGCGTATCGCTGTATTTTCATTTTTCAGGCATGACCGGCTTTTACATATCCCAGTAGTAATCTCAAATTTATCTTACAAACATTTTTTATAACTTAAAATGGTAAAACTAACAAACAATTGTTTTAAACACTATAATTATTATGCTGAGATAGGTACACTTTCCAATGTTGACAATCTTGTCAATTGACAGAAATTAAAATTTTAGAACTGACAAGCAGGGTTGGGTTGTGTTGTGTCTAATATTTTAATCTCTCGACGTAGTGACGTTCTATACGTATAATTTAAAGGGGTGCTACTCTCTGTACCAAAAACATAAGTTCGAATGCTCATTATGCCGAATTTACAATTTAGAAATGACCAGATACGCGAATCCTCAATAACCTAAATTGTATATTGAATGAAATTCAAAAGTAGGGAATAATCATTTGATATATTCTGCATATGGAGAATATTATTTTAAACTAATTCTTTTTTTCCACAATTTGAAATTATTGCAATTTTTATTTTTGGAATTTCCACTTTACCTACATTTTAATAGATCGAAACGTAAAATATCAGAATTGACATTTAATTGAAATATGATGGAGAATAAATATATATTCACTGAATAAAAAGATTAAATAATTATTAAATGTTTGAATTTAATAAAAACATATTGTTCAAAAGTTACAGTGCGAATTGTACAGAATATATATTAATAAGAAATATAATTTGGCAGAATGTCGATTCGATCGATTTTATATTTGCAAGAAATTCAATTTGACAGAATATCAATTTATAAGAAACACGTTTTCGTAGAACTTTAACTTGTCAGAATTGTAATTTTGTAGAATATTAATATTGGCAAATCTAATTTTGGTAGAAATCTGCTTTATCAGAATGATCACATGTTCGAATCCTCAAAAGTTAGAATTCCATTTTTACCGAAAATGGATTCCACATAAATATTTGGCGCAAATTTTAAAATCGACCAATCAGAAATCAGAATTTTAAAATTTGCGCCAAATATTTATGTGGAATCCATTTTCGGTAAAAATGGAATTCTAACTTTTGAGGATTCGAACATGTGATCATTCTGATAAAGCAGATTTCTACCAAAATTAGATTTGCCAATATTAATATTCTACAAAATTACAATTCTGACAAGTTAAAGTTCTACGAAAACGTGTTTCTTATAAATTGATATTCTGTCAAATTGAATTTCTTGCAAATATAAAATCGATCGAATCGACATTCTGCCAAATTATATTTCTTATTAATATATATTCTGTACAATTCGCACTGTAACTTTTGAACAATATGTTTTTATTAAATTCAAACATTTAATAATTATTTAATCTTTTTATTCAGTGAATATATATTTATTCTCCATCATATTTCAATTAAATGTCAATTCTGATATTTTACGTTTCGATCTATTAAAATGTAGGTAAAGTGGAAATTCCAAAAATAAAAATTGCAATAATTTCAAATTGTGGAAAAAAAGAATTAGTTTAAAATAATATTCTCCATATGCAGAATATATCAAATGATTATTCCCTACTTTTGAATTTCATTCAATATACAATTTAGGTTATTGAGGATTCGCGTATCTGGTCATTTCTAAATTGTAAATTCGGCATAATGAGCATTCGAACTTATGTTTTTGGTACAGAGGGTAGCACCCCAATTTAAAAATGAAAAATTCATATTTGTTTTTGAAATTTTAAAATTATATTTTGAATCCTAATAAAAGATATAAATGAGAAGCAATACAATTGATTTTAATTTCAAATGTTTAACATTCAGGAACAAATTAATAAAATTGTCTCAATTAAAATACGTATAAATACGTTAAGTTCCCAGTCGTACATTTTAAAAAGTTCTTTCCTGCTACTAATTTTCCAGATAAAAACAAAAGTGAATCAATTATAAATTTTGTATCAAGAAATTAAAAAAAACGGATTATTTTTTCGAAATGGTATTAAAATTGATTTTCTAAAATTTGAAGTTTATAAGGTGCATTGTTGTCATGAAAAGCGCAATATGACGACAACTAAAATTAGTCTTGTATGCACTTGTGTCGCATAGAATAATTTACATTTATATACATATATGAATACACGTGCAAAGTAAAGATTCCTTAGTGAAACGTGGTCCAAAAAGCAAAAATCATTCGTTAATAAAAATAGATCTTAATTTTACTGAAATAATCGAGTCGCATTAGTACTTTAAGTTACGGTGCATCTAGTGCTTATGTCACAGGTAAATTATAATTCTCATTTCTCTAATTAATTCTTATAGTAATTTGCTTTAAAAATAAATTTAACTCTTCCTTGTCATTCTATTTTCCCCGTTTCCAACACTTCAATAAATTCTGTTTTTATTCCATTTCTGCGATTTGTCAATATTATTCCTAACCTAAAATTCATTGTTTATAAAATGAAAACTCTTGAATTTTCCCAGAAAAAAACTTTTGTTTTCTTTTATTTTTAACAAACATATTTCTAGAATTTTATTATTCAACAATTAAAGATTTTATTCATTTGTTGCCGCGAGGAAAAATGATAAAATAAACGAAATAAACAAATGACAAAGAATAGGAAGAAACATATATATTTTTATTAATTTAAAACGTTTATTTGATTAGAACGCATCTAAGTATATGTTAATTGTTGTAACTTAAAATATGAATAGAATTGTACTCGAAACCCTACATTTACTTAAACCAATTGTCATTCTCGGCCTTGTTTTTGTTTTCTTAAGGTATTTATCCATTTTATCATGTTCCAGATTTATTTAAAAAATGTTTATTAATAAAAAGGTAAAAAAGATGGGAAATTTAAAAAATTGTTATTTTACAAAATTAAAAATTGTTTATATTTTACTATATCATAAACATAACCAACAATTTTTTGCCGCGATACCTTTAATATTTAATATTTTTTTAAAGTATATATATTTCAATTTCATTATTTATCTATCATTACTTGTATATTATTGATTGTAAAATTTTATACTATTTGCTATAATAAACGATTCGATTTTTAAAGTTTGAATTAAATGGATAAAATTTTCAGCTACTATCACAATGCCGGGGAAAATAAAAGTGAGGATATTGTCGGGAAGAAATCTTCCTGTCATGGACCGTTCGAGTGACACAACTGATGCATATGTTGAGATAAAATTTGGAAATACAACATACAAAACGGATGTTTGTCGAAAATCATTGAATCCACAGTGGAATTCAGAGTGGTACAGATTTGAAGTTGACGATTCAGAATTGCAAGATGAACCTTTACAAATTAAATTAATGGATCATGATACTTATTCTGCAAACGATGCAATTGGCAAAGTATACGTTAACTTGAATCCTTTACTTTTACCTGGAGTTCCGCCACCAGTAAAAAATATTTGGACTCTGGAGGCAACAATGAATTCCAGTATTGGAGCTCAAGGAGGTATCATTCTGTCTCTTCGTTAATATTACTTATTTGCCCTTTTATATCTAATTTTGTAATTTTCAAAAGTTTGCACATTGTGACTACTAACTGGGAAATTCGAAAAAAAGGCAAACATTCAATTGAATTGGACAATGTCCTGAAAAAATCAGAAATTGTTTGAATAACTAAACTTTTACTTTGGTTTGGTTTTGGTTAATTGAATATTTTCTTGATAAATAATAATGTTCTTAAAAACATCTGTTATGTTTTACTATTCATAATTTTTTATTTTATATTTTAATTATTTATTATTTTCGATTCCCGTCTTTTTTCATATAATTGTTTATATTTCACTACCAATCAGTAAATTATATTTTAATTATTATTAACGTGTAAACGCGATTTTATTATTTTCAAAAAAGATTTCATAAGTTCTAAACTGTATTTAAAATTTAAATGTTTCAAAAATTAGTACCTATTTGATGATTGTAATTTGTTCATTACTTTTAAAATTCACTTATTATTATAAATTATTTTTCATAATTTTAATCAAATTCTTCAAACCAATTAAATTATTTTTCAAAAAATTTAGTAAAATTCTTCGCAGAAATTCAATTACTTTTATGAATTGTCAAATTCTCCACAAGATGTTTTTTTTTAAATAATAAACTTCTTCTCAAGAATTCAATTATTTTTAATACAATTTTAATAAATAAATTAATAAATGAATGAAATTCTTCAAAACAATTTAATTACTTTTATGAAAAATAAAATTTTTCGGAAGAATTCAATTATTTTCAATAAAATTTTAATAAATATAAATTATTTTCAATTAAGTTTTAATAAAATTTCTCTATAGAATTCAATTTTTCTTAGATTTTTATAAAATTTGTTTATAATTATTTTCAAAATAATTTTAATTGAAATCCTTCGAAAGAATTGAATTATTTTCAAAAATATTAATAAAATTCTTCGAAACAATTCAATTATTTTCATAAATTTTAATAAAATTCTTTGCAAGAATTAGATTATTTCAGATTCAAAATTATAAATGTTACAAAAATTTATAACATTTTTTTAGCAAAAATATTATTTTTAAAAATTGAAAAAATATTCTCTTAATAACGCAAAATTTGGGAAATAAAATAGTTTCAAAATTATTATCATAAATCTTGTTTTATAAATCTGAATTATTAAAAATATTTGAACTAATTAGAACATAAGTAATAATTGCTCAATTTTATTTTTTTCTAGAAATTTATTTTTCATTTCTACTTAGAAGAAGACATTAAAATGAATAAAATCCAATTTGTCTTATGAAAATAATAATATAAACGTATTTTGCATTAACAAAAATTAGTTTTTCTATAATAATTTATAAATAACTATTTTTATTTAGACTGGTGAATTACATATACAAATTAAATTATACTTAATTTCATTAATTTTGAAATTCAAACCATTTGAAAAGAAAAATTATCAAAAATTATTTTTCCATCATTATAATTACTTATTGTTAATTTTTAAATATTCCTGATTATATTTCAAATCTGAAAATTTTTGTATTACTTGCTTAGTTTATAATTTCTTGAAAACAAACATCTTTTTTAAAGCTAACACTTTTCTATTCGATTCTTCCATTCAATAATAAAATAATAATTTCTCAGTTTTTCTTTAAATTGTATGTTTTTTTAACTATTATTGTTAAAAGAGAATATGCGCATTATACGCAACATAATTAAATAGTTTAATTTTTTCGATTTTTCTTAGGATCTGTAATGACTGGTTGGGTTCCAGTATTTGACACAATGCATGGCATTCGTGGAGAAGTAAATATTATCGTTAAGGTTGAATTATTTCTAGATTTTAATAAATTTAGACAATCTTCTTGCGGTGTACAATTTTTTTATTGTGAGTATCTTTTAAAGTTTTTCAAATTTTTTAAACTTTCTATAAATTAAAATGATAGGTAATTTTCAATTTATATTTGTTTTTTTTTAGTTTTTAAACAACTTTTTATCATTTATTTTTAAATAAATTTTATTCCTAATTACTGATTTTAATGAACTTTAATTCTCTCTCTTGTAATTTAAAGTTTTTTCTATTTTAGTTTAAATTAATTGCTTTATATTATTTATGTGTGTCCAGTTTTTTTTATATTTAGAATAGTAATAATGGAATAAGAACAATATTGTAATAGAAATGAAGTGGATTTAATGTGAAAATGTTTTTCAGCTCCTAATATTCCGTTCGGTTATCATGCCCAAGTGGTACATGGATTTGTTGAAGAATTAATAGTTAGTGATGATCCGGAATATAAATGGATTGACAAAATACGAACACCGAGAGCGTCAAATGAGGCCCGACAAACATTATTCTTTAAACTCAGTGGAGAAGTTCAGCGAAAAATTGGACTGAAAGCCTTGGATCTCGGTGGAAATGCTGTCATAGGGTAAATTTTGTGAAATATTTATATTTATATTTTTTTTATTTTGTAATTGAAAATTATATTCATGGGAAAATTTTTAATACAGTTATCTACAAAATTTTGATTTGGAAGGAGAATCCGGAATTGTTGCTCGTGGTATTGGAACGGCCGTTACTTTAGTAAAAGTGCAAGAAACACCAAATGTTTTACCCGAAGGCACAACTGTTGAAGAGTGAGTATTTTTTAGAAAGTTATTTAATATTTATTTTTAAACGTTTATTATTTAATGAATAGTCGACAATTTAAAGAAATCAGTTTCATTGAACATTTTTGTTTTTAATTATTTTAGTAAATAACTTTTGAAACTATAAATATTTTTAAAATACGGACAATTATTAATTAGTTTCTTTTTGTCTTTCCCACCTGCATGTGTTTGAATAGGCTTGCCACATTTGGTTCTAAATTCAAAAAACATGCAGATAATCCTGATTCTGACGATAATTCACCTCTCCTTTCTCATTCGCCTCTAGTCACACCTAATAATTCACCGACAAACATTTACATGACACTTATAAATCCAAAATTTCCCTGTTATGGACGAACGACTGTGAAAAATCCCAAACCACTTATGAAAGTGATCGATTGTCGAAATCAATTCAAAGACTCTTCGTTTCGTCCATTCCCATCGCCATCCAATGTGAATGGGAAGAAAATTATAGAATCAAATTTATCATTTTCGGATGATATTATTGATGAATCATCAATAAGAAATTTGTTAGCATTGGAAGATTTGAGAGGTGAATCTGGTGGTAATCGATTTTCAAGAAGTTTAAAGAACTTGAAGTATTTACAGCAAAATGTTCTTTCCAAGAGAGTTAATCAATTTCGTTCGAGAATGTCGGAATCATTTGACGAAGAGAGCGATGGTGATAGTATTTCTTCGAGTACGTGGTCCATTGGTGGAACAGATTCCACTCGATCGTCAGCACTGGATTTACGAAAGAATACACGAAATAAATCATTTTCACGTTCGAAGAGTGCTAATGATGGTATGGTTGCTCTTCTAATTAAATCAGTTCACGTTGGATTTCCAGCATCCTTGGATATTGTTAAAGAAGATCGAGAAACACCTGCACCATCACCGGTGAAATTTTTATCCGATGGAACGGATACTACGATGAAAACTGATTTGGAAAATGTGGAGAAATTATCTGACTCAGTGGATAAAATTTTCCCTTCTCTTGATTTAAGTCCTGTGGATAGCAAATTCAATCGTGAATTTTCCATTCCAATGATTTCGTCCTCCGAAACTGATACTTCGTCAGATGATGAACCTTCAGAATCGAGTACAAATTACAATATTCTCGATGATACATCCTCACTGAATGAATTAGTTTTACCATCACTGGGACGTCGAATAGGTAAGAAAATGAAACAAAAAATGGAAAATCCCCTTCAAGTTGATGATAAAAATGAATTGAGAATTTCTCGGAAAGGATCATTGCAAACTGAAAGAAGTACTTCCACAGAGCCGACATCCTCCGATGTTGATTCAGATTTTCACGATAAATTCGAAAAACAGTCGACAAATCAAAAGGAGAATCGAAAATCTTCTAAAGACATAACATTCGATAAAATTGATCCAGCGAATTCGAAATTCGATTTGGAAATTCCCTTCAAAAAACTTGAAGAAGACAATTACGATGAAGAGTTTCAAAAAACTCTCCAGGAAAATAATTTCCAAGACAATGACAATTTGAAGGATAATAATCAATCGCATCTACTTTTCATTCATTTGGCAAATTCTCAAGAAATTGAAACTTCGACAATCCCTCCCTTAGAAGACGATGATACAGAATCAATTTCACTGATTGATCCAGAAGAAATTGAAACCTACAATTCTTCACTTTTAAATGACAAGAATTTAGAATTACTTCCAATTATCAATACCGAAGAATTTGAAGACTATAATTTTCCTCTTTTGGAAATGAAAAATTCCACATCGATTTCAGAAGAAATTGAAATTTACAATGAACAGAATTCTCCATCAATTCCAATTATTCGATCCGAAGAAATTGAGGATTATAATTTACCTCTTTTGGAAGGAAATAATATTTCACTGGCAATTATTGATCGAGAAGAAAGTTTTCAAAAAGATGACGAAAGTATTGATTCAAATAGTGACGAAGAAGAAGAAAATGAATATCTAAATCACTTTTGTCAAGAAAATAGAAGCACAGAGTCAATAATTATTCAACCGGAAAAAATTGAAACAAAGAATGAAAGAATTAATGACAGAGAGTCTAATATTAAACTTCAAGATAGTCCAGATTTTGACAAATCTTTATTCAATGATGCAAATGTCGGAGAAAATTCAAAAAGTGATATATTTAATGAACCATTTTTTTGCGATAACAAAAGTACCGATTCAATTATTAATAAATCGAGAGAAGTCAGTGTTAGTTTTCTAGAAGAAGATAAAACTGAACAAAAATCAATAATCCAGAAAGATTATAAAATATTCAATGAACCGTTTTTTCAGGACAAAAACCAATTTTCTCCATATTCGGAATTAAATCCAAAAGAGAAACTAAATGACGACATTTTTAACGAACCTTTTTTCATAGACAGTGAAAATTCTTCATTTCTTCAAGAAGATATTACAATTAATACAGAGAATATTAAATCGAACGAAAATGCAGAAAATGTTTTCAATCCTTTCAAAATTAAAGAAAATATTCCCAAAGATTCTATCGAAACAGATATTGAAGATGATTCGAATAAATTTTTTCACAATACTTTTAAAAGTGATGAAAATTTTCCCCTCGACGTTAAAAGCATTTCCAATTCAAAAACCAATGTTCAAGAACAGAATTTCATTTCATTTGATATAACAAATGAAAATATAATTAATAATCCGACTAATGTTGAATTTAAAGAAACTGATTCAAACTCATTTTCAATTGAATTTTTTTCGTCAGTTAATTCAAATTTATCTCTTGAAACTCAAACCGAAAACTTAAAAATTCCAACGAATTTTATAGAAGAAATTTTTGATGATCCAGAAGCAAAATCAAAAAATCAAATAACAGAAAAGAGAAAATCTCTAATACGTCAAAATTCCCAATATCAAGAAACTAATATTCTAGAAAATCAACAAACAAAATTGGATCAAATTGAAAATACGGAATCAAATTCCAAAAATATGGAAATAAATTCAAATTCCCCGAAAAAATTAATTGCAAAAAAAGATCCGGATGAAAAAATTGCCCGTGGAGTTGAACGAAGTGACACTGTCATTTATAAAGGACCTCTCGATGAAAAAGGTCGACCATTAACGCCAAAAATAGAAAAACGACAATCAAAAGAAACTGTCACAAATACATCGCCAATTATTTTTGTCGAGCACTATTCGGAGAAAATAAATTTTCTCAAAGTTCCCATTGCTCATACACTTGATGTAAATGTAAAAAGTACATATACAAAAAAAGAAACCGAATTAGCCGAGAATATAAATCAAAAATCTCATAATCATAATCATTATCATCAAGATGACGAATTGAAATATGCAGAAATTTTACAACATAAATTTCGCAAAAGTTGCATGTTAGATTTAATGAAAATAATTGACACAAAAATGATGATTCATTCGTCACATCATTCGTCATCGCACAGAAAGGATTCATTTCGATGTACAAAAAAACGACGCGATAAAGTATTTAAAAATCTCACACCATCACCTGATTCAATACAAAAAATTCGCATCCACCAACGACGAAGATCAAAATCAAAATCACCAGAAATTTATCCAAATGTCAAATTTCCATCCACCTCGACATTAAATTCAATTCATTTGTCACATCATTCGAGTCATCATAGTCATCATCATCATTCCGTTAAAAAGCATGTCACTCACAATTTACCAATTGAAAATACACTTAAACATTCTCCTGACAATTCACATGTTCCTACTGTAATTAATGAGAATACAAAAAATCCCATTCTCGACGACATTCATAAAATTTTTGTCGATAAATTAGCTATTGACATGCAAAATAATATTCTTAATAATATAAATTCTAATTCTAATTCTAATAATAATAATAGTAATAATTTTCAACTTCATGAATTAAAATCCGTTCATTTGAATTCAATAGTCTCGTCTCCAAAAATTGTTGAAACTTGTTTGGAGAATAGCTCTAGCTTAGATAAGCCAATAAATGAATTAGTTGAATTGACTAAAAACACTAACGCTGCTGTTACTGACAATATGTGTGTGTCCTACTCACCTCCTCCCCTCAGGCAACAGGATGAGAATTCGACGAGTCCAGTGCACGCGAATATCAACAATTCATTGATGGGAAAATCATCGCAATCAAATAATGCAAAAGCAAATACTACCATTCCTCTGCACAGGCGATCAAGTGATTCCGATCTTAGTATTACTCCAAAAGGTGAGTTTTTTCTCTCAATTTATAAAAAATTCTCATTTCTCTAAATTATGGAACGTATAAATAAGTAAAATTGATAATTTTTATTCAATATACCTAATTAGAATTTCATTTTATGAAACTTTTTTTCATTAAATTTTTTCTTTCCTTCTTTTCTAAATTTTGCAATAATTAATTTTCTACAGAGATTTCTATTCAAACGGATTGAAGAAGAAAATAATGCGAAATTAAATGAATTTTTACTTAACAAAATTATGCAATTGAATTTTTTATTTCAGAGGAGGGAGTAGTAAAATTTTAACAAAATTTACGTTGCCGGCAGAAGTCAATCGCATTTTTTCGAATCTAAATTCTATGATAATTGTCAATTTTGTTGACAAAATGGAAATTTTTTAAAAGTTGGGAAACTAAGTTTTCTGAATTCTAAATGAGGAATAGAAAATACTAGCAACAATTCTGATATTCTGATATAGGGAATTCAGGGAAAAGTCAGGGATTTAGATTAAAAGTACTGAAAAAAATTAAATTTTTAGAATTCATAAGAAAATTCTGAATTTCTGTGTTTATTTTGTTTGACTAATAAATTATAACATTACCACGAATTCTAATACAAAACCTTCAATTTTTTCTATTTCTGACAAAAATTTCTTTTTAAATAACTTAATTCTTCAAGAACTAATCATAAAATAAATAAATTATTTAATGAATAATTTTACTTAAATATCTCAAAATTAATTCAATTTTAAAAGAGTTGCGTTTACATTTTTCATAAATAGGGTAAGTGTGCCAATTATGGCGCGGTTCTGGTTTAGCCGTCTTTGAAATAGAAAATTCAAAAATTATAATGAAAGAAGTAAATTTATGGCTTATTAAACTAAAAGCCCGTGTCATATAGATAATAAAACTTTTATAAAAACTTTATAAAAATTAATTATTTAAACAAAATTGAAGCAATAAGAATTAGGATTAAAAACGTCAATTATGGCGCGGTTGAGTCAATTTCGGCGCGCCAATTACGGCGGGGAAAATAACGTGTATTTAGAGGTTGTGTTGCGCGCCATAACTGGAGCACGCACATTCAATGAAAATGTGCCAATTATGGCGGGGCACAATTTTTGTACTTAAATAATTAAACCAATAATAGTTCAAATGTGTTTATTTTCGTACAATTATATCGAGTAAGGTCGAAAATAACTTTTTCTATCATTTTCAAATAACTATATTATTCTAAAATAGTAAATAATTCTATTTTTTACAAAGTCGCCATAATTGGAGCACCTGCCACAATTGACACACTTACCCTATATGAACTTCAAACGGTTTCAATTTTAAATTTTAGAAAATTTCAATGTTGAATGAATTTAATTAGAAATTTTAATAAACTTAGATTTTTGAAAAATTTTAATAATTCAAAATCTTCTAAAATTAGTTAAATTTGTCAATATATATTTAATTAATTATTTTAAAAAATGGATTTATAGAAGAATTTTAGTTATAAACACGAAAAAAATTGAATTTTGAAAAAGTTACAAATGATTGTAGAAATTAAATTATTTTCAAAAGTAATAAACTTCTTATCATAAAATTCAATTATGTTCAACATTTACAAAAAAAATCTCGACAAAATTTTTTATTTTTAAATATATCAACTACAACTTTGAATAAAATTTTAGATTCCAAATTATTTTCAAAAATAATAAAATTTTTCGGAAGAATTCAATTATTTTTAACTAATTTAATAAATTATTATTCAAAGAAATTCCACTCCTTTTAAATAGTTTAATAAAATTCTTCGCTAAAATTTGTAATAAATTCTCTTATTTTTAATTAAATTGTTTAAAAATAATTGAATTACTCCGAAGAATTTTATTATTTACGAAAGTAGTTAAACTCTTGCCAAGAATTTTAATTAAAATTCTTCGAAAGAATTATTCCTCTAATGAATTTAATTATTTTTAAAAAATTTATTTAAATTCTGTGAAACAATTAAATTATTTTCAAAAATTTTAATAAACTTCTTTACAAGAATTCCATTATTTGAATTTTAAAGATTATAAACTTTACAAAAATTATAAAATTTCCATAACAAAAATTTATCTTTTAAAAAAATAATTCTAAACATGAGAAATTAGCAACAAAATTAGGAAATAAGAAATCAAAGAACATTTAATTTCATACTACAAACAGATATCTAAAAAACGATTATTAGTAAGATTTATTTATTTAATAAATGAGTTAACTCATTAAATATGAGTTAACTAATATAGAATTTAGATTCCAAATAATTGCTGATAAGAAAGAAAATTCTGTTAAATGAAATTGCGTTAAAATGAGTTTTTTTCAACTAAAACTTGATTAACAGAAATACTGTTAAGTAAAAATTCTGTAGAAAAAATTCGATTACATCAAAATTTTGTTAATATAAAATTTAAATTAACTTAAAGTCGATGACACAAAAATTCAAAAATTAAATATCGACTAAAAAGAAAATTTTAAATAGAAATAACAATTGACAATTATTCAAATATCAAAATTTTACTAAAAAAAATTATTAAATATTCATTCATTCATTTAGAAAATAAAATAAATAATAAAACTAATTAAAGTGAAATTTTAAAATAAAATAAATAGTAAAGAAAATTAAAATAAATTCGGAAAATAAAATTAATAATCAAAATTTTTTTTATTTTATTTTTCATAAAATTCAAATTATTTTCCTTGAATATATATTTTTTATATTTTTATTTTTAAAACTGACAAAGTATTTGCTTGAAAACTTCTGAATTTGTTTTCGATAATTCTAGAGAAGATTAAATAATGACTTTCAAGTCATATTTTTGATTAAAATAAAATTAGTTGCAATGTATTTAATTGCTTAGGATTTTAAATAATTTATTTAAATTATTCACAAATTTTAGAAAAATACACTTTTATACTAAAAGAACTATTTCGGAATTTCATAAAAAAAATTTAATTGATAAAAAAATATTAATTTGACAGAATAAATGAGAAATGAAAGTCAAGAAATTCTATTTTTCTGTTTCATTTGCTTTGATATCCCCGCCAGGATATTATAAATTTTTACGAGGACGTGAGTACCACGAAGAAAAAAAAAATTTTTTTTTGTGTTTCCTTTATTAGTTGTATAGTGGTACAAAATACAACAATTCAAAATGTTTCAACAACAAAATTGTATATATTTTTATTTTCAACAAATAATAACAAAACAAATTGTATTATCAATATTAATGACACTGTATATAATACAAATATACATTTTACATTTCTAAATATGTTTATAACACCAAATTTTCTCTATGTTTCCATTATCTTTCTTTGAATATTATTACAAGCATGCATTCGTCAAATCTAATTAACTATCTTTCCTTTGTATAAAAAAATCTATGTCCCTATTTTATATTATCAAACATTATTTTACCAAAAATATTTTTAATTTGTTTGTAATTATTTTTTTTTTGCAATTGTATTTTATTCTCTATTTTCTTCTCTTAAACTGATGAAAGAGTTTTTCAATATAAAGAATAAATATAATGTCAATAGAAAAGTACATTATAAATGAGAAATAATAATGAAAATTATATTTTCTATTCTTCTAGGTAATTCATTAGCCAGTAGTGATAAATCTATGGGAGGATATTTAAAACCAACGACAGCAATTCGAACAATGAATCAAGATGCTTCCGATATGTTGGAATATCCATTTCTAACAATGCAACAATATCCACCTGGATTTATTTTACACATTGGTATTAAATGACAAATTACTCGTAATATTTAAACAAGTAATTAATTGCGAAATTAAGTGAAAAATTTTTTATAGTTGTTTATTTATTTATTTTCTCAATTTTTAACGGGACAAAAGTTCTTTTGTAAAATGCACTTGACAAAAATTATCAACTAAAACAATATCAAAAAATCAGCAAGAATATAACAAATGTAGATTATTACGTATTATTCAACATTTTTTTAAAATTAATTATATTTTAAATTTGATAGAAAATTAAGTAGTGGCGTTAATAATTAAATATTGTTATTAATATTAATTGAATTTATCACTCGGTGGTATTTTAATCAAATTTTGAACTAATAATCTGCATTAATAATCGTTGTGTTTAAGATGTCTATTCACAGTTTAAAATTAGTTGATATTTGCATTCTTTGTCATAACTTTTCTTTTCAAATGTTTTGAATTTTAAAATTAATGTATTGCTAACAATTGAATTCTTACAAACCAATTTCTATCAAAATATTGAAAATAATTGAATTCGTATGAAGAATATTTATTTATGAAAATAATTAAATTCTTGCGAACAATTTTATTACAATTTTCAAAAATATTTAAATTGTTTTGCAGAATTTCCTTAATTTTTTTGAAATTAACGGAGATTTTTAAATAATTTTGATAGAACATTTTTAAAGTATTTTAATTTCATGAAGAATTTATTTTAAATATTTTAAAATAATCATGTTTCCTATAATTATAATTAAAAATTTGTTTATTGACTAATTTCACTAAAATTTTTTAGGCAATAATTGAATTCTTCCCAAAATTTTATAACAACGTTTGAAAATGATTGAATTGTAGCAAAGAATTTTATTGTTTATGCAAATAACTGAATTCTTCACAAGAATTTTATACAATATTTTTGAAAATAATTGATGTTTTTTTGAATAATTTCTTTGAAATTTATGAAAATAATGAAGTTTTTTAAAAAATTGAAATTGGAAATTTTGAAAGTAGTAGAATTTTAAGAATTTCTTTCAACTATTTAATAAAGTAATCATATTTGTTAATAATTTTAATTAAAAATTTTGATTACTGAATTTTATTAAAATTTTGAGGAAATAATTAAATTATTTTCAGAATTTTATAACAATTTAATAAAATAATTGAATTAATTCGAGGAATTTTATTAAAATATTAAAATAGGTTGAATTCATTTCAAGGATTTCTTTAAGTATCTGAAAACCATCGATTTTGTTAATAATTGTAATTAATAATTTTATTATTAAAATTATTGATAAAAAATTGAATTCTTTTGAATAATTTTATCAGTTTTCGAAAATTTGTAATATTTAATGCTTTAGAAGAATTGAAATTGAAAACTTGATTACTGAATTTCATTAAAATCCTGAGGAAAGGAATCTTGCTAAATTTTTACAACAATTTTTTTAAATAATTGAATTTCTGTTAAAAATTTTATTATTTTTTTTAAAATACAAATTGAATTCTTATAAAGAATTTTATTGAAATTTTTGAAAGTAATTGAATTGTTTTGATGAATGTTATTAAAATTTTGTAAAACAATTAACTTCTTTTGAGCAAATTAATTGAAATTGAATGAAAAATAATTGATTTCTTTTATATAATTTGATCAAAACTTTTGCAAATAGTTGAATTCAGTCAAAAAGTTTTATAAAAATTATTAAAAATAATTTATTTTTTCGTGAAATTTTGTTAAAATTCTATTGAAGACAATTGAATTCTTATAATATAGAATTTTATTAAAATTTTCAAAAATATTTGAATTCTTTCAAAGATTTTTATTAAAATTGTTAAATATTCAATTATTTCGAAATCTTTAAAAATAATTTTTTAAAATAACGTGATTTTTTTGTGACATTTTGTTAAAGTATTGAAAATAATTTAATTCCTGTCAAGAATTTTATTCTTTATGAAAAGAATTGAATTATTTCTAAGTGTTTTATTAACATTTTTGTAAAATAATAAATAATTCTTTACTCAATAATAAATAATAATTATTATGTAGGTAATATGTGTTTTTTTTAATAGTAATAATATTGTTAGTATAATGTAATTGTGTTTCATTATAAAAAATATATAGAGAAAATTAATTTATTTTTCAGGTGGATTAGTGAGTGCAAGATCAGTTAAATTATTGGAAAGAATATCCAATTTAGAAGAACCGGAAGGTCGAGATGCTTGGTGGACAGAAATTAGAATGGAGGTTCGTTCCCACGCAAGAGCCTTAGCTTGTAATGTTGTTATTGGTTATCGGGAAGAAACAAGCATCAGGTAAGACAATTTTCCGAATTATAACTAAACTATCAAAATTACGTTCACGTCAATTTTATTTTGCAATCTTTTTTCTAGACAATTTAGAGAAATGTTTTTAAAATAATTTTCAAAAAAATAAATACAGTTGACTCTCGATAAATTGAATGTCAAGGGACATAAAAAATGTTAATTATCGACATTTTTATTTATCGAATGCATATTGAAATTCTAAATTGAAATTATTAATGTTGGGTAAACCAGAGGTAATCAGACACAGTAATTAGAGTAAAATATAAGTATTTTATTAAAGAACAAGAAACGATCACGAGGCGATACTTTAAGCAAGGACGCTACCAGCGAACTGAAACGCTATCGCGTTTCAATAAGTCATGTGACTTTTCTATAAATTTCCTGATTGGTCGAATATACAAATGGCCAAAAAACGCGGGTCTTTATATTTGAATTTAAAGTTCTTTTGAGACTAAAACTCGAATAATTAAATAATAATTAACTTTATAGTCTGACACTTCCCCTCGAGTAAGAGTCTCTAAACAAACAGAATATCACTTAAGCTGTTTCAAACCAGCTGACGTCGCACAAAACACTAATTTGGATTTACAAAGTCCCTTGGTAAGGAAATCAGCTACCTGCTTTTCACTAGGGATATGTTTCACTGAGAAAAGTTTCTTTCCGAGCACTTCACGTATGAAATGATGGCGAATGTCTATATGCTTGGTTCTTGCGTGAAATGTGGGGTTTTCCGCCAAGGAGAGACAACTCCTGTTGTCGCACCAAATCGTGAGATTTCCAAGTTCACCGAATCCGAGTTCCTGGACGATTCGCTGAAGGTGAATGGCTTCCTTCACGCACTCTGCCATCGCCATATATTCGGCCTCTGTTGTCGAAAGGGCCACGGTTTTTTGTTTACGTGAATCCCAGGAGATGGGTCCGCCTCCTAACATAAACAAGTATCCGGTTTGAGACTTCCGGTCTTCAAGGCAACCACCCCAATCCGCATCCACAAATCCCTCGATAGGTCCCAGTTGTTTTTTGAATACGATTCCTGAGTCAGCTGTTCCCTTTAGATACCGAAGCACCCGTTTTGCGGCCTTCCAGTGTTCTATGCCGTAACAGTTATTGAACTGTCCCAATTTGCTGATTGAATACGATATATCGGGACGAGTTGTCACTGACAAGTAAGTAAGAGCACCCACTAATTCGCGATATGGGAGCTTTTGCTCTTCGTCACTCACTTCTTCGTTTTTCTTGAGTTTGGTTCCGAGGTCCATTGGCGTGCTGACTGGATTGCAATTAGTCATCTCGAATCTCTCGAGTAATTCATGGACGTAACCCTGTTGACACATTTTCACTTCATTTTTCGTTTGAGTGAATTCTACGCCCAAGCAATATTTTGCATCGCCGAGGTCCTTTATATCAAATTCAGAAGATAACATTTTTCGAAAATCATTAATTCGTTTTTCCTTTTTAGCGGCTACCAAAATGTCATCGACGTAGACGACAATCAGCAAGATTTCTTCCCCTGCTCCGGATTGAAAAAGGCAAGGATCTCCCGTTGTTGGATTGGCACCGAATTTCCGCAGGATTCCGTCGAGTTTTTGATACCATGTTCTTCCGGCCTGTTTCAGTCCGTATATCGACTTTTTTAAAAGACACACTTTGTCACTGCCTTTAAAATCACTTAACATTTTCTTCGCGTGTTTTCCTGTTTCACTGTCACTTTCGATGTCGATCACATGTTGTAGATAGTCCTTGAAGTGTTTCGGGGGTTCCATCAGGATTTTCTCGTCTAATTCTCCGTTGAGGTATGCCGATTCAATGTCGAATTGCTTTATTTTCAGATCGAGTTTTGCAGAGAGAGAAGCCAAGAGTCGAATGGTGCTGAAACGAGCTACTGGTGCGAATGTTTGACCAAAGTGTATCCCAGGTTGTTGACTAAATCCTTGTGCAATTAGCCGTGCTTTTCTTCTTTCTATTGAGCCATCTGGATTCACCTTGTTTCGCAAGATCATTCGACTTCCTATGACCTTTGAACCATCTTTTGGACGTTCTGTTAAAATCCAAGTCTTTTTCTTGATGAGTGATTTCATTTCTATGGCAATTGCTTTTTGCCATTCATCAGCATCTCTTCCCCTCAAAGCTTCCCTTATTGAAATTTCAGAAAGGTAGGTTTGATCCTCAGTTTCCATCTCGCCAACTTCTTTGGTACTCGCAGATTGATTGTTCTCCAATTTGGTATTGCTTCTTAATCCGCTTCTCGTACTGATTCGTGGCAAGTCACTTTGAGATTTGACGTTGGATTTGCTTCCCTTGGGTCGTCCTGGTTTTCTTTTTTCTTCCTCTGCTGGTGCTTCTCTTGTCTCGTTCTCGATTTCGATGTTGACGTCTCTTGAAGGTTGTTCTATTTTTTGTTGTGTGGGTTCTGTCACTGTGTCGTTGTTAAATCCCTGAAAATCTTCCTGTTCTCCGGTTGAGTACCAGTCGTCATCGTTTTCGATTTCACTTGTTTCGTTATTTTCAGATACTGTTTCACGATTTTTCGGTTCTGCTTCGTGCTCCAAGATGGTAAAACGATGTTCCGTATCTCTTTCGATGTTTTTTGACGTAATTGCTTTGTTGTTTTCACAGGATTTTCGATGAATATTCGCGTCTTCGAGAAACTTTACATCTCGGCTCATGATCACTTTCCGTTTTTCCGTCGACCAAATTCGGTAGGCTTTTGATTCGTCCGAGTATCCAAGAAACTTTCCCTCGTGACCACGCTGATCAAGTTTACTTCTTCCAGGGTCTCTATCCAAATAGTAAACTTTGCTTCCGAAAATTCGCAAATTTGACACATCAGGCGCGTTTCCCGTCCATTCTTCGTATGGAGTTTTTCCATTGAGACTTTTTGCAGGCATCCGATTCCTTAGATAATTTCCAGTGTTTACTGCTTCTGCCCAATATTGGTCCGGTAAATTGGCATCCATCAATAAGCACCTTGCTGTGTCCAAAAGTGTTCTATTCTTTCTTTCGGCAGTCCCGTTCTGCTCGGGGTTATGTGGTACCGTAAGTCTTCTCGAGATTCCTTTTTGTTTTAAAAAGTTGTCGAATTCTGTGTTTATATACTCGCGTCCATTGTCTGACTGAATCATTTTGACCTTTTTGCCCTTTTGTCTTTCCACCAAGGCCACATATTCTTTGATTTTTTCGAACACTTCCGCTTTGGATTTCATAAACCTGATATCACAATACTTGGAGTGATCGTCGATGAATTCGACGTAGTACTTTGCTCCACCGAGTGAGGCTGTTTTTATCGGGCCCCACACATCCGTGTGAATTATATCCAAAATGTCAGATTTTCGGTTGGACACTTTTGGGAAGGGGGTTCTTGTCATCTTCCCCTTAAGACAAGTTTCACAGTCAAACACATTTTCGGATTTTTCGAGTTCTACACCTGTCACTGCACCTTTGTTAACCGCGTCGCGAATGTCTCTGAAATTTGCGTGACCGAAACGTCGATGTAAAATCTCGAGCGTCGTTTTGCACACTTTCGAATTTGATACTATGTTTGCACTATCACAAGCTTCCTTCACATAATACAGATTACCCATCCTTTCTGCGTAAAGTTGCATTTCACCTTTCGAATTTAGAATTTTCGCGCATTTATTGTCGAACAAAACACTGAAACCTTGATCGGTAATTTTCGAGACTGACATTAAATTTGTCCTCAGATCAGGGGCAAGGGACGTATTCTCGAGCGAAATACACTTTAAATCACCATTGACACAAGTTTTAAATTTCACTGTTCCTTTTCCTAGAGTCTCCGATGTCGAGTTGTTCGCTAAATTTAACACTCCGTGATTAGGATCAGTAATTTCCTGGAAAATTCTCTCGTCGTTGCACAAATGGGTTGAAGCACCGCTGTCCAAACACCAATTTTTGCCGAAACCGATTCTCGAGTGATTAGTCGCGTTTAAACACAGTTCTTCCGCGGTTTTAGCCGAGTGATTATTATCTTTGTTATAACGACATTCGGATTTCTTATGTCCGAATTTTTTGCATGTATGACACTGAAATTTAAATCGAGGTTTTTGTTCCGTTTTGTCGTTATGTTTAACTTTTGCACTCACTTGTTCACGTTTCTGACCACTGTATTTGTTTGCCAACATGGCGTCTGAATTTTCAGCTTCTCGACTGCTTTTTCGCGCATCACTCTCTTCTAATATTTTTGTTCGCATTATTTCTGGTGTTGGCAGGTTATCTCGCGACTCGATGGCGCACCTGAAGTTCTCGTAACTTCCCGGGAGACTGTACAGCAACATTATCGTCAGTAGATCAGGATTTATATCTATTTCCATATCCGCTAACTTATCGACTGTGTCGAAAAACTGGTTGAGGTGATCCCTGACGTCATGTCCTTCCGCCATTTTTTGCACTGTGAGTCTTTTTAGAAGCGTGGCCTTCCTGGCCGGACCTTTCGATTGGTAAATCTCTTCCAACTTGAGCCACATTTCTCGAGAAGTCAAGCAGTTTTTTACTTGTTTCAAGTTGTTCATTTCATGATCATTAAGCTTCCTCAATATAATATATACCAATTGTTTAATTTTTTATTTTAGAATAATTATTTTAAAGTGTTAAGATAAAATGTCAAAAAATACAAAATTTCAATTTTTTGTGAAAATTTAAAATATTTATTAATTCTATAAATTTTGATAAAATATATACTTTATATACATGAATCGATTCGTTTTTATGTCAGGAATGCAATTTTGACAAGAATTAATAAAAATTTTAATATAGAAAAAAGTTACTTCAAACAATCCAAAAATTATTTTTTCAAAAATTAAAAAATTGTTGAAAAAAAATTTTTTTTTTAGATATTTTTGAAAATCCTTTTGTCTGATTTTTGGTATTCGTGACCGTAATACACCTACAAAATTTTATCAAAATCCGTCAAGACGTGTAAGAGAAAATTTGTCCACAAGAATCGGTGACATACACACACACACACACATACATCCGGACATTTGTTCCTCTCGACGAATTATATATACTACACTTGAAAATTTGTAAAAATAATTGATGGTTCTTAAAAATTCGGAAATCGACATCACTATAAGGCTTCCTTTATGAGGAAGCAAAAAGAATTCGACTTCAGGGTTGCCACAAGTCAGGGAAGTAAAGGAATTCAGGGAAAAGTCGGGGAAATTAGAATTGGTCAGGGAAATCAGAGAAAAGCCAGGGATTTTTTTAAAAGTAGATACTGTTAAAATTTTTTAGAATTTATAAGAACATTCTGAATTTTGATGTTTTTTGTTTAATAAAATTCTTGGTAAAATTTCAAAAATTTTCCTCATTTCAATTATTTTTAATATCTACTATTTCAATAAAATTTTACAAAAGAATTCTATTATTTAAACAAAATTTTAATAAAAATTTCACAGGAATTCAAATACATACCAATTTTTTATATATTTCTTCGCACCAATTCAATCATTTTTAATTTTTTAATGAAGTTTCTCCAAATAATTCAAATACATTGAGAGAATTGAAAAAAATAGTTTTTAGAAACTCAATTATTTCGAAAAATTTAAATAAAATTCTTTTAAAAATTCTATTATTTAAAAAAATTTTGACAAACTTCTTTACAAGATTTAGTTAATAAACTTGCAATTTTAATAAAATTTTTCTATACAATTCAATTATTTTCAATACAATTCTTCTTGAGAATTTAATGATTTTCACAAATTTTATGGGAATTCAATTATTTAAAAAACATTTTACTAAAATTCTTCGCTAGAAATCAATTATTTTTATAAATAATAAAATTTTTCTTGAGAATTCAATTATTTAAAACATTTTTGATAAAATGCTTTATAAATTTGAAAAATTATAATAAAATTGATCGTAGAATAAAATTATTTTCGTAAAATATAACATTCTTCCTAGAAATACAATTATTGTCAAAAATATTTGTAAGAATCTTCAAAAGAATTCAATTACTTTCGCAAAAAAAAAAATTCTTCAAAGCAATTCAATTATTTAAGAAATTTTAATATAATTCGTCCCAAGAATTCAATTCTTTTCAAAAATAAACAGTTTCACAGGAATTCAATTATTTAAAAAAGAATTTTTTTTATTTCTTTGCCAGATTTCAATTATTTTTAATTTTTTAATAAGATTTCTCGATGGAATTTAATTATTTTTAAAAAGTTTTTAAAAATTCTGAGAAATTCAATTATTTAAAAAATTTGAATAAAATTCTTCACAAGAAATTAATTATTTTCATGAATAATAATATTTTTCTCCGGAATTCAATTATTTTTACAAATAAAATTTTTTTCGGGAATTTAATTGTTTAAAAAAATTTTTAATAAAATTCATTGCAAGAATTCAATTATTTTCATAAATAACAAAACTTATCGCAGAATTTCAATTATTTTTTATACAATTTTAAATATGATGATAGAAAATTACATATTTTATTCTTAAAATTTTTTTAAAAATATTTTTAAAATTTTGAAAATGAATTTCAGCTAAAATTTATATCATAAGAATATTGTTTATAATTTTGAAATTTTATAACTTTTAAAATTATAAAATAATTTTTTTTAAATAATTTATTTAAATAATAAAATTCAATGAAATATTCAATTATTAAATAAATTATTTATTTTTGTATGTAAATAAATGAATTCTCGAAAAATTCACCGAAAGAATTCAATTATTTTTAAAAATGTTGATAAAATTCTTCATAAAAATTGAATTTTAAGAAATATTCAATTATTAAATAAATTATTTATTTTTGTATTTAAATAATTGAATTCTCGAAAAATTTTCTAATAAAAATTTATTAAAAAATGAATTTCAGGTAAAATTTTAGATAATAATTGAATATTAGAAGAATTATTGTGTGAATTTTTAGAAATAATTGAATTTTGAAAAGGGTTCAAATTAAAATCTTAGAAAATTTGAATTTCTAGCTACAATATTCTTATGATAAAAAATAATGATTTTATCACTTTGTCATCTTAAATTTATTATAAAATATGAGGAAGTCGATCACTTCGAGTCGAAGACTCGGAGTGATCGATTTCCTTATATTTTGTAATATTTATTCTCATAAGTTATTGAATTTGAGAATCTTAATTCCTATAGAAAAATAATAATGATTGAATATTTATTTAAAAAAAAAGTTACTGATGTTCTTCAGGGTCAGGGAAAAAGTGAAAATTTTCTCTGGAAATCAGGGAAAAACAAATTTAACATTTTGTGGCAACCCTGGACTTGCAAAATTTTGTTTTTAATAAAGTTTTTAAAAATCTTCTTTACAATAAATTGAAGACATAATTTTTGTTCTTAATTTAATGTGTGAAATATTCTTAAATAATAATTTGAAATAAATTTTCAGTGACGATGTATGTGTACTAAATGCATCGGGAACAGCCGCAGTAATTAATCTTCACAATATAAATCAGGATTTGGATAATTCTCTTGTGAATCGACCACAACAGGGAATGGCAGCCTCAATTGATTCGGATCGTGAAAAAATCCAGCAAAAAGGAAACACAAAGAGCGATAAAAATGACAATGAAACACCAATGACGAATCAGACACAATTGGGAAAAATAAAGAGAACATCTGAAAGTAACGATCACGAGATTCCCTATAGTCTTCCCCTGAGTAATTGCAGTCTCTGTCATTTGCCCTACAGCGAATCAAGTGTACCATTTAAAGTGAATGCAACAAAATGTGCCGTTTGTCGACGGGCAAAAGTTCCCGATGTTCTTTTCACAACAATCGAATTGCCGGATAATGTTCCCGTGACTGGTCGTGGTTGTTTCATACAGGCGATAGTTTGCAAATGTAAAAAAGACCTACGCGGTGAATTGAATGCAAAGGAAATTTCTGATTGTCTCCCATTTCTCGAATACGAATTACACAGTTTATTGTTGAATAAACTAAAAGTGAAAGGAATGAATTCAATTTTTGGACTTAAGGTACAAGTTTCGGTTGGTGAGCGTTTAATTATTGGTATGGCTATTGGTACCGGTGTTTTTTTAACATCACTGCCCACACCGTCACTGCCGCGAATTGCTTCTGGTAATTCTTGGAACAATGAAGAACAACTTAACGAAATTCAAAAGAATCTTGTGGAAACTGTAAAAAAGAATAGAGAATTTTATAAACTCAAAAGTACAGTAAGTAGAGTCGATTTTATTTTATTTTTTACATTTTTTAAAAATATTTTTATTTTATTCATAAATAATGCAAATTACAAAATTTTTTATTTTCCAATATCAACTTAAATTTTTAAATAATTTCAAATTCAAAGATTTTAAAAATTCACTTATTAAATAACTAATTAATTATTATTTACTATTTTCAAAGTTTTTAAATAAAATTCTTTTCAATACAATTTTAATAAAATTCATTACAAGAATAAAATTATTTCACATTAAAAATTGAAAAAATTCACTTTTTAGCTAAAAAATGGTTTTTTTCTTAAAGTTTTAATAGAATAATTCGAAAGAATTGAATTTAATTATTTTCGTAAACAATAAAAAAATTCTTCCGAAGTATTCAATTATTTTCAATACAATTTTAATAAAATTTCGTTAAAAGAGAATTTAATTATTTTTAATTACAAAAATTTTAATAAAATTCTTTGAAACAATTCAAGTTTTATTAAATTCTAATAAAATTCTTTAAAACAATTTCAATTTTTATTAAATTGTAATACAATTCTTTGAAACATTTCAATTTTTATTAAATTGTAGATAATAAAATTCCTTGTAAGAATTTAATGATTTTTTGAAATTTTGACAAAAATATTTGTAGGAATTCAATTATTTTCAATAGAATTTTAATTCAATTTCTCGAAAGAATTAAATTATTTTTAAAAATTGTAATAAATTTCATTGAAACAAATCAATTATTTTCAAAATTTTTTCGTTGCAATTAAATTATTTTTATAAATAATAAAAATCTTAGCAGGAATTTAATTATTTTTAAAAAATTTAAGAAAATTCTTCGCTGAAATTCAGTTATATTCCAAAAGTTTTAATAAAATTCTTTGAAAGAATTCAATTTTATTCGTAAATGGATAATAATAAAATTCTTCCCAAGTATTCAATTATTTCCAATATAATTTTAATAAAATTTCTCGAAAAAAAATTGAATTATTTTTTATTTTTAAAATATTTAATAGAATTCTTCGAAACAATTCAATTTTTTTTTAATTTTAATAAAATTCTTCCAAAAAATTTAATAATTTTGAAACATTTTGATAGAACTCTTTATAAAAAGTGAATACAATTTAAAAATTTAACAATTTAAATTGTATTTATTCAACAAAAATTTAATGTTTTAAAATTAAAAAGCAATTTGTAAACGCAAATTTATAGAAATTAAAATTGTTTTTAAATTTTTCTTGCAAAAATAGTGTCACAAAACTTTTTCTCTAAATATAAATTAGTAAAAATTTGAACTATACTTAGAACAAAAATTATGTAAAATTTGTAAAAATTAATTTTTTAAATTCTACATAGAACATGACATTAAAATAAATAGAATTTAGGTTTCTTTATAAAATAAATAACATTAACCGAATTTTACGTTAATAAACATTAGTTTTTCTACAATTTATAAGTAACTATTTTTATGTTTTAGGAATGTTAAATTAAATTGTGATCTGTAATTAAAAACAATCTTGTTAAATTATTTTTTGTTTTTATTTAATCTTCTAAGCAATTAGAATTTCATTTATTTTAAAATTGTTAACATTTAGAAAGAAAAATTAGCAAAAAAAAAATTGAAAAACGAAAAATTAATCAAATTTAATTAACTTAGTGCAAAGAAATATTCGGAATAAAAAGATTATTAATATAGATTTTATATATTTTTAAAAAATGTTTTTATTCTATTTTTATTATATTATTTATTTAATTTTGTTTTAATAAATTTAGAGATCGAATAAGGCTTTTCGAAATTATTGACGAGAGTATTTTAATTTCAGGATACTGATAATGGAAGATCGAGATCTGACACTGACGAGTCGGACGATGATCTTCCGGATATGGATTTAAGTTTAGGAACAAAAGACGCTTGCGTTTTGGAAGTGGACGACGTTGAGGATATGGATAGAATTTGTTTATTGATGGATGATACTCCGCCAGACGATTTTCACGTTGTTAATACGCAATCAATTCCTGGACTAGAGGATCTTGAAATTGTTAGAAATTTACAGATGTTCACTCAAGTGTCAAGAGCAAAAATACCATCTGGTCAATTTGGTTCTATGCCTTCAAAATATTTCGCCCGATTACTTCAGGTGTGAGATAAAGAAAAGAATTTTATAAACTAATATTAATTATTAGAAAATTACAAAATCGACTTTAATAAATTTTTTTTTACACGTTTCCGATTAATATTTTTTTACACATTTCTGATTAATATTTTTTCTATATTTCCGACTAATGAATATTTTTGTTTTTAGACTGTGTATTTCAAATTGCGACGAATGGTTCCTTGTGCCCTTTGCGATATGAAATTTAGAGTTGCTCTTCCTGAACAAGATGAAATACAATTGTCGGTTGTTGGAATGGCTCTAGGCCTTGGAGAATCTTCGAAATATTCGAAGCACAAAAGAAAGCATATGACCTATTCATCAAGTAAAGATCAATTGAAAAAATCGGGTAAGTTGAGATAGAATTTCTCTTAAAATTTTTTTATTATTATTATCATACTCGACGTTTAACTTTAATCATGTTTTTCATCATCGATCGTTTAAATTCAGAAAGAATTGAATTAATATTAAGTTTAAAAAAAAAGATAACGAATATTACGCATAAAAAATACTTTTTAAATAAGTAAAATATTATGAATCTAATCGCATTGGAAATTTCAACTATGAATCGAATTTAATTTATAATTTATAAATGAGAATAAAATAAATCTATTTTTCTCTTTTTCTATTTAGACGATTATGATATGATTTTCACGCTTGATGAAGACGTGGCGGAAAATGTAACAACCACCACTACAGAAACTGCAATAAATCCACCAAATTCGCTTGTTTCGACTCAAAAATCGAGGCCACGCTCACCATTGAGAACAAAATCACACACATCCCACAAACATAAACACGTAAGTTTTTGCTCGAAATATAATTTACATACATATTTCATTTCATTTTAAGAGAAAATAGGAAAAATGTTTCAGTAAATTAATTTCACTGAAATAATCAGGCCAATCAAAAAATGATAAATTATTCCAAATAATATACAAATTGAGAGGAGAAAACATTTAATTCGAAAAACCAATTAATATTAAATTTCCAATATTATTCATCTTTTTTTCGAAATCAACATTTTAAAAATAAAACATAAACGAATAAGAATGAATTTAATGTCAATTTAAATTCAGCTAAATTTTTCTTTTATTAAATTAGGTTTATTTTTAGTTTTCAATGTCAACTTCAATTTTTAAATAATTTTAAATTCAAAATTTTAAAAAATTCACTTATTAATTTCGTAATCAATTATTATTATTATTTTCTAAAATGTTAATAAAAATTTTCCAAAGAATTTAATTACTTTCTAAAATTAAGTATAAGACTATTCTTTGAAACAATTCAATTATTTTCAAAAATTTTAATAACATTTTTCAAAAGAATTCAATTATTTTCAGAAATTTTAAAAAAATTTTTCAAAAGAATTCAATTATTTTCTAAAATTTTAATAAAATTCTTCTGAGGATTTCAATTATTTTTAATACAATGTTTATAAAATTTGTTGAAAAAATTTAATTATTTTTTAAATTTTTAATAAAATTTTTTGAAAGTATTCAATTATTTTCAGAAATTTTAATAAAATATTTCGAAAGAATTCAATTATTTTCTAAAATTTTAAGAAAATTTTTTAAAAGAATTCAATTATTTTCTAAAATTTTAATAAAATTCTTTTGAGGATTTCAATTATTTTTAATACAATGTTTATAAAATTTGTTGAAACAATTTAATTATTTTTTGAATTTTTAATAAAATTTTTTTCAATTATTTTTAATACAATGTTTATAAAATTTGTTGAAACGATTTAATTATTTTTTGAATTTTTAATAAAATTTTTTTCAATTATTTTCTTAAATTTTAAGAAAATTCTTTGAAACAATTAAATTATTTTCAAAAATTTTTCGAAAGAATTCAATTATTTTCAATACAATGTTAATAAATTTTTTTTTCGAAATTATCCAATTAATTTTTAAAATGTTAATAAAATTTTTTGAAAAAATTCAATTATTCTCAAAAGTTTTGATTAATTGTTTTATAAGAATTCAATTATTAATCTTCGCATACATTCAATTATTTTCAGTATAATTTTCCTGAAAATTCTTAAAAGAATATAATTTGTTTTCAACAATTATAATAAAATTCTAGAAAGACTACAATTATTTCTAAAAACTGTTAATAAAGTTCAATAAAGAAACTTTAAAAATTACGTAAAACTTGAAAGAAATTCTTTTGAAATTTAATGTCTATAAAAATTTTCAACTAAAGCCATTAAGAAAACTAAATTATTTAAAAAAAAACTTAAAGAAATTCATGTAAATAATTTAATTATGAGTTAATAAAACTCTGAGAAGAATTTAAATATTTGCTAAAAATTTTAATAAAATTCTTCGCATGATTTTAATTATTTTCAGTACAATTTTTATAAACTCGAAAGAATTCAATATTATTTTCAAAAATTGTTATAAAATTTTTGGGAAGAATTCTATTATTTCCTAAAAATATTAATAAAGTAATCAAAATTTCAATTACAGTATTAGAAAATATGATTATTTTAAAAACTTGAAAAAACTTCTTTTTAAAATTCAATTACTTGTAAAAATTTTTAATTAAAATTATTAAAAAAACTAAATTTTGAAAAAATTTGGAGTTTTTCGAAAGTCTAGTTAGTTTCTATAATTTTCCATTTTCGAGAATTTTCATTATTCTAAAAAATATTTTGAAAATATTATTTATTTGCGTTTTTGCAATTGTTGTTAACATTTTTTGTTTAAAATCGGTTTTTAGAAATTAATACATATTTATGGTTATTTTATAGAAATAGTTTTAATAATTAACGATCATTGTTATTGTTGTTAATTGGAAATTGTTATTGCATTGTTATTAATTTAAGAAGAAACAATTTTTGTATCTTAAAAATTGTGTTAATGAAAAGAGAATTATTTTCTCTTTTCAAAAATCTTAAAATTATTTTTTAATTTCTTTAATTAAAAATTTTAAAAAATAGAATTAAATTTAAATTTATTAATTATTAAACAATTTTTAAGACTAAAATATTATTTAGTAATTAATAATTAAATACACTTTTTTTTGATAAGTGATTAGATTTTGTTTTTGATTTACTTAATTTTCTTACATTTTTAATTAAGGTTTCTCTTCATTTTCCTTGTCAAAAATATAAATATAAAATTGTATAGATAAGAAAGGTTCATTGAATTAGAAGGATAAAGTATCGATTGCAATAAATTATCTTTTTTTTTCTTCTAGGTACCTTTAAAAGAACGATACGGAGTTGATATAACGCCACTTTCTTATTTACCCGGAGGGAGAATCGAGAGATATCTGGGGAATCTAAATTTCTTTTTTATTAGAGAAAGCACGTCCATTCGAGAAGTAAGCGAACATTTTTTTTCTTTCTCTATTGCATTAAATAACTACTATATATTGAATTCGAGCTTGCGCTAATTTATTAAACTCTGTTGTTTTTTTTCTTTTTTTCTTTTAAAGAATGGCGGAATTAGTGGATTTACCCACAGCTTTGTTAATGAAGTTTTGGCTATTGTTCGAGCCCACGTAACAACATTGGGTGGAAATGCAATGGTCGCATTTTTTATGACGCAATGCGTACTCCTTCACACCCCACACAAAAATCACGTAAGTCTTTCGATATTTCTTTTTTTAATTCTACAATCTTCTTTCCCCTTCTTTTCAACAAATTTTAATTCTGTAGAGAATTTCTATTTCTTTTAAAATCTCTAAAGAATTTTCCCTTTTTTTCAATTCTTTAAAGAATTAAATTTCTTAACTTGATAAAATATTCAATAATTTCGTACAAAAATTCAGGCCTCGGATATTATAAAATTTACGACTTTTTTCGACAAATTTTCGAAAATTACGAAACAATTCAACTATTTTTATAAATTACTAAATAAATTTTCAAAAATTTACAAAAAAAAGAGTTTCAATAATTGAAATTTTGTAAAATTTAATTGAAAATAATTGATTTTTTTCCAAGTGTTTGATAAACATTTTTTAAAATAAACTTTAAAAGAATTTTAATTGCAAATTTTGAAAATAAAATTGATTTCTCAAAAATTTTAATAAAAAATCTTCAAGTGTAAATTTAAAAATGGTAATTAATGAAAATTAGCTACAAAAAAATTATATTAAAATATTTTTGATAAAAATAATTCTTAGAATTTTTGCATTCTAATTTTTTAAAATTCAATTATTTTCAATATTTTTAAATACAAATTTCCAAAAATTCAAATACATACAAAAAAATAATAACATTAAAATTTTTGACAATTATTTTTAACATTTTAACAACATATGACTTTTTTAGATTTTTAAAAATTTTAGAGAAATCGCGTTTATATATTAATAATTAAAATTCTTTAAAAATTCAATTATTTTTTTAATAGAATTTACAAAATTTCAATTGTTTGGAAATTTTTCAATTATACATAATGGAAAAAAAAATCTTTCATAAATTATTTTAAAAATATTTTTGAAAAATTTCTTTATTATAATTTTTTGAAAATTAATTAATAACTTAAAAAACATGAGACAGTTAGAATCATTATAAAGAACTGAATTTTTGTATTTAAATAATAAATCTGTTTATATTGTGGCCTTAAGGTCACAATATAAACAGATTTATTTGACAAAAATTAAGGTCCTGAAAACATTCTAAGTTGTATTTAAATAATTGAATTCTCTAAGAACTTTCGGAAAATTATTAAAAATAATTGATTCCAAAAAGAAGTTTGATTAAAAATTGTCGAAAATAATTGAATTTTAAGAGAATTAAAGTTGTAATTTTTACAAGTTATTAAATTTCAGAAGGTTTTAAAAAGAACTTTTTTTAATTTTATTCCCGTATAAAAACAAACAAGAAGTATTTAAATATTTATTTAACAAAATTATTCAAGTATTAAATAATTAAATTTATAAATCAGTGAAAGATCAAAAGAATAAAAAATAAAATTTTTGTGATGACACTGAATTAAATAAACGACTTTTTCGACTTTTTTTCTATTTTAAAACGACTAAAGCGATTTTTTTTGCACCTTAAAGTCGATCCGAGGCCTAAAAATTTGTTGTCTTTTTTGAAAATCTAATTTACGCTAAGAAAGAAAAAATAATTAAAAATATATTTGAAATAAAAAACAATAATAATTTAAAATACCGAAAAGAAAAATGGAAATTCCGATTTAAAAAAAGATAACAGCCAATTATAATTATTAATGTTCTTTTATCAATGTCTGGCTTATTAAAAGTTAGAGAAGCAATTTTTCATGAAATTAAAAAACAAAAACTTCCGATTACAAAATTTATGAGTACAATTTAAATTTGCAAATGCAGCAATTGAACATTATGCGGAATTCAAATTATATGCAAATTAAAATTTAATATCGTAGTTATAAATAATATGGAGACTGAAAACTTGAAATTTGAAATCATAACGAGAAACCAAGTGTAAACTTGAAATTAGATTTTGTCTTAAGAATTCTCAACAAAGTTTTAGCTAAAGATCGACTGTTTCCTTGTGATTACGCAAGTTTTTTTTTTTTTTTTGAAAAATTGGAATAGAAATTAAAGAAAAGAAGAAAAAAAAATGCCCTTGAACAATCTTCCTAAAGCATACACTCTAAAGAAACTCATCTTATAGTGGGTTATAAAAGGAATGCAATATCCTGCCATGAAAGAGAAGCTAAATTTTGTTAGAATTTTGTTCCAACTTCCCGTCTATAAATGGAAATGATAAAACCATTATGTGCAAAGGAAAAAGGGGAAATTGATTCGTGACTAGTTGGTTGCTTTTCCTCAATCTTTCGCAAAAGAAAAATTGTTATGTACCTCAAACACGACTTTGACCTCTTGTCTGGATTCAATAATTTATGCAAATAGACAAAATTATAATTGTTAAGTGACAACGTTTTTTTTTTTTTTTTTTAAATCAAGGTTCACATTTTATTTAGTTTTTTTTTCTTTAATACTTAGAAATAAATTGCGGAAAGAAAAAAAGGTTGTAAATGACTCGGTATTTTGATTTACAGGGACTTTTTTGTACTATTTTTTCGTTTTATAAAGAACTTTTATTTTTTTCTTTTTAGAAATAATTTTTATTTTACTTTTTTTTGCTTAGAAAGAATTTTTGTTTTATTGTTTTCTCTTGGAGGAAGTATTTGTTTTATTAGGAGAAAGTATTTTTTTTATTAGGAGAAAGTATTTTTTTTTTGGATTAGGAAGAAAATTTGTTTGTCGAGTAGAAAGATTTTTTTTGCGCAATTTGCGATATGTAATTAAAATAATAATAAGGATTATTTGACTATAAAAGACATTGAAATGAATAAATAGAGGACAATCCTAATGAGTTTTCAGCTCTCTACGAATTAGAATGTAGAATTGTATTATTGTCGACACTTTCATTGTCTATGTAATAGAGACTAATGTGATTTGAGTTAGTGAAGCACTGGTTCATTGAAAACAGATATATGAACGCTTTATTGCGTACTCTGCCACTGGAAGGTCATGGAAGATCATTGAATTACATCGTATATATAGAAAATTCAAAACTGTGAATTGTGCATACGCTTATATTTATTTGGCTTACGTGGGTATATTCGTCAAAATTCCTCGATAATATTGCTTTGGAGTGACGTAATAGGTAAAAATCTCACGCTATGTCACACACAAAGACATTATTGTTTTAATTCGATTTGAAAAATAAGAGAGGGCACGTTTATTAATTTGATTTTAATTTAATTCTTTGATTTAAATATGCTAGTACACGATTTTCTCTCTTGTTTTTCTCGCAATAGGAGAAAATTTCAACTTAATATTGAAAGTGATTTTTTTAGTAGGTAGATTGATAATTATTTTCATCTTTGATTTTTTTCAAGTAAATTCCAATGAAAAAATTAAAAATAAATTTGTAAATGCAAATTCCTTTATTATTTTATTTTATTCATCTTTATCATTTATTCTTTTTCTTCAGTTTTTTGTCAATTATTTAATTTCTTTTAGTCAGTTTGTTTGTCAGTTCAGAAAATTTTAACTTAATATTGAAAACGATTTTTTTGTCAATTCTTTTTGTTTCCTTTTATTGATTTCTTTATGTAAAGTAAAGTCCTCTGAAAAAATTAAATATTTTGTAAATATAAATTTATTGTACAATACACAATTTGTAAATACAAATTTATTTCTAACTTTCAGGCCTCGGATAGTATAATTTTTTCGACTCTTTTTCAAAAAATGCGACTTTTCGTTCAAATATTGTAATAAAATATATTTTTTTGTTATAAAATGCTTATTTTGATTTTCATAGTATGAAAAATAACTATAGTAAAATATTTTCCGGTAAAGTGTAGTTTTTTGGAGAATTTTTTTAGTTCACAAATTAATCTTTTGTCCTAAAAAGTGAAATTGTCATTATTTTTGAATTAGACAATTTTTTTTGGAATTTTGTTTGTAGATTTCGACAATAACAGAGTTTTTATAGGTCGTTTTTATATTTCAAGAAAATCAAAGCACGTTACAAAAATTCTGGTTTTTTTTGGTTCTTTGAAAATACTGAAAACTTTTAAATTGTCCTGTAAATTTTCTTTTTCACCTTAAAAACTTTTAAAAAAATCATAAAGAGTGAAAATTTTAATTTTCTATTAAAAAATTATATAATAAAAAATAATTTAAAAACTAAAGAAAAATTTTAATAATTGAATTCTTGAAGAACTTTCTAACAATTAAATTTTAAATTTCGTTTTCAAAAAGTTTCAAATTGAAATCTTTGATAATTAAAATTTCAAATAACTACAAACAACTATTACGAAGAACTTTGTTTTTTTTGGAATATTTTAATTCATTGAATATTTAAATTATATATTAATTGAAGAAACTTCGAATAATCAAAATTTCGTAAAATTGAATTAAAAAAATGTTAAATTTGATATGAACTTGATTTTTTCTTTTAATAATAGAATTCTCAAAGAACATTTACAAAATTGTTAAAAATAATTAATTTCCAGAAGAATTTTAGTTAAAAATTCTAGATATTTGAATTTTAATTAAAAATTCTAGATAATTGAATTTTAAAATAGGTTTTAAGGTAAAAATATTTGAAAATTTCAATTCAAAACATTAAAACCCTTAAATTGTTCTTGAATATTCTTTTTCACCTTAAAAACTTCAAAGAAAACCATAAAGAATTACAGTTTGTAATTTTTATATAAAGAAATCAATTTTTTTTAACATTAAATTGTAGAAAAAATTTCTGAAAATTATGAAAAATAACTGATTAAGTGAAGAATTCTGATTAAAAACTCTACGAAATAATTAAATATTGGAAGATTTAATAGAAGAAATTTTTAGAAGTAATTAAATTTCAAATAGTTTCTATTTCAAATTTTTCAGATTTTAGTAACTTTAATTAAAATTTCTAAAGAACTTTGTTTTCTGAAAAATTTTAAATTAAATAGTTTTTCAAAATTATTAAAAATATTTTATTTAGAGAAGAATTTTAGTTAAAAATTCTAGAAAATAATTGAATTTTGGAGAAGTCTCAGTAGTAATTTTTAGAAATAATAATTAAATGTCAGGAAGTTTTAAATTAAAATGTTTTGAAAAATTCAATTGGCAATATACTTATTTTAAAAAAATTATTAAACTTTTGAATAAATTAAGTTGAAAATTCTATAAAATACAATTGAATTTTAAAAGAATATTACTGTTGTAATTTTTAGAAGTTATTCAGTTTTTGTTATTGAAATAAATTTTATGTTTTGAAAAATTTTACCACAATTTTGAAAAGTAATCGTAATTTTAGAAGAAGAATGTTAAAAAGTATAAAAACAATAATTGGAATTGAATTTATTATTTGAATAAAGAAAAATAGTTAAAAATTTTCTGGAAATTAGGGAAAGCCATCAAATTTTGAATAATAAAATAAATGACTTTTTCGACTTTTTTTGTACATACTTCGAAATTTGAATTAACTGAAAAAACTTTTTTTTGCGCCTCAAAGTCTATCCGAGGTTTGAATTTTGTCCTCTTTTTCTTCAGTTTCTGTCAATTTTTTTATAACTTGGAATTGTTGATGATGAATTTGAATGAAGAAGAAAATTTTCTCTTATGAATGGAAAACATTTTTTTCTATTAGAATAGATTTTTTTTTATCTTGCGCGGGGTAAATTTTCATCGGAAATGGAAATTTAAATTCGCGTAGGTGATGTAATCACCTCCCCTCAGAAATGAATAATAATGACGTATTTCGATTTTGTCTTGTATTGATGAGTGGGACCACTTGTGAAATAGCATAAAAGCGTTAATTACTCGGAGAACCTGATGTTATTCATTAAAAGGTGCTTGACGCTTCTCATGTTTCAGGGACAGTGTCTAATTAACGTTGGCGGTGACGTTGTTTCCGTTTCATATTTCGGAGATGAAAGACAAATTGGAAATACGATTTGCTGACCTCAACCACCTCATTCAGCACCACCATAGCCAATAAATTTATTGAATCGTGGAATTTTTCATTTTTCAACAAAACTCATTTCTATGGTGAACTGAAATTCAAATGGAGGAACAAAATTTCCGTCATCAGTTGTATATCTTCGATTTTTTTTTTTGGAAAGATTTTCCCAAAAGGAGTTGAAAATTTTCCAAATCAAATAGAATTTGTTCTTTTAGTGAATTTTTTTTTTATTTTTTACTACAAAACTAGAATTAGTGATGCATGTAGAAATTTTTTTATTGAGAAAAAAAAATGAAAATATTTTCGTTTATTTTCATTTTTATTTTTCATGTGATTCTTTGTTTTGTATTATTTTTTTATTAAGGCTCTCTTAAAGTGCACCACTAATTATTCTCTCTGTGTTTCATTGTTGTTATTAATAGAGAAACTGCGTAGGAGCCTATCATGACCTTTTATATTAATTTGAAAATTCGTCTGACTTTTGATTTTATAATTTTCTTTTAATAATACAAACAATAATAGAGTCGTAAATTATTAATAGTTTATTAATAATGTAATTATTATTCAATTCTCTATTAATTATTAATAGTTACAACGTTAATATGAATAATAATTATTGATTATAAATTAATTGACCCAAATTCGAAGAACACATTAATTAGGTTAGACTTTTATTAATTAGTCAATTAGTTAATTAGTTTTAGTTAATTAATTCAAAAATATATTAGTTTATTAATTAGTTTTAAAAAAGTTAGTTTGCTATAAATCTTTACCTTTTTTTAAATTTAAAAAAAAATTTATTTTTAAAAAAACCATAAAATGTATCAAATTTCTATAGTTTACTTTGTCAGATAATCAATGAAATTTTCAAAGTGCCAATTTGGATATTACATAAAAGGCTGAATTTGTGAGAAACTTTTGCAATGCAAAAATTATTTCTGCCAGGAAAAAAATATTTCTTCACAAATAAGTTATACAAAAAAATAATATTCAGAGTGAGAGGAAAATAATCTTTTTCCTATTTTGCAAAATTTTCTGTTTTAGATATTTTAAAATATATTTACAAATAATATTTCTGTATATAAATATTAACCCTCGGATATTATGATTTTTTTGAATTTTTTCAGACTATTTAAAAAAAATCGACTTTTTTTATCTTGTTTTCAAAAAATTCTACTTATCTTCCAAACAATACAACAAAATACCACTTTTTTTTGGTACAAAATGCAACTTATTTTGATTTTTATAGTGTGAAAAATAATTAGTCAAGTCTTTCAAAAATTATTATTAAATAATTTTTTTAGATAATTAAATTTTTCAAAAAAAAAATAATATTTTTAATAATAAAAAAGTTTTTATAACATTTTATTGCGAACAAATATTTAAAAATCAGATTTTAAAGAATTTTAATTATAAATTTTGAAATGAATTCAATTCTAAAAAATTTAAATGAAAAATATTGAATTGAAAATTTGAAAATGAAAATTAATAAAAATTATAATGAAATATAATGTTTTAAAATAGTAATTGATTAGATAGAATTTTTATAATTTTTTCATTTTGATTATTTAATTCAATTATTTTCCATATTTTCAATTATAACTACTTTTAAAAATTTAAGTATACAAGTATCAACAAAAAATAACATACAAATTTTCTAAAACATCTAATTTTTTAAAATTCTTATTAAAATTTGAAAGAAATTAATTTTGTAACATTTTATTGAAAATAGTTGATTTTTTCTCAGTACTTCGTTAAAATTTTTAAAAACCATATTTTGTGAATTTTTGATTAAAATTCTTCAAAAATTTGATTAGTTTTTGAAAATGATCTAAAAACTTCTTTTGAGAAATGCAAAATTATTTTCTAAAAATAATATTACAATTCTATTAAAAAACTAATGCTTGGAATTTTTTTATTATAATTTTTTTAAATGCAATTATTTTCTCAAACTTAATTAAAGTTTTTAAAAATTATACTCTTTTTAATCTTATAATTAAAATTTTGAAAAAATTATGGTTTTTTATATTCGTAATTTAAATTATTTAAAAATTTGATTATTTTTAAATATTTGCCACAAACGGTTTTAAAAAATTAAATTATTTTTCGGAAAATGTAAATAAATTTCAATTATTTACAATTGGAAAATCTATTACATAATATACTTTAAAAAATTATTTTACAATACCTAGTTACAAAAATAATTCTCGGTTTTTTTTATAATAAATTATTAAAATTGAACTATCTTCAAAAAATGTAAATTAAAATTTTCAAAAAATCTGCTTTTTTGACTTATCATAAAAATTTTGGAAAAATCCTGCATTCTCATATTTATAATTCAAATTCTTCAAAACCTTGATTATTTTTTAATATTTTCAAAATTTTGTTATAAAAAATTCAATTATTTGAAAATTTATATATTTTTTCTTATTAACAATTTATAATATTGAATTTATATTATAAACATATAAATATTATAATATTAAATTATTAAATATTACCATAATATTTAAATATTATGTTATATAATACATATTTTGTGAATATATTTATAAATATTTAACTTTTATAGTTTATTATAGTTAAAAAAAGAAGAAAAATGTATTAGACTCTTTTTAATAGATTAAGTAGAATATGAAATTTTTACAATAGTTTTTTAAAAAAAACCATACTAGTCCAATGCAGGGTTCGTTATTATAAATATATTTGTCAATGCAACGGTTACTTAATATGGTTACTTAAACTTCGAATTATTCTCTAATTATACAATTTATATAAAACTGCGTACTATTTTTTAATGCCGTCGTCTTTACAGACTTTATTTTTATTTTTAAACAAATTTACAATTTTTATTTATATTTTCCTCAATTTATAGTCGTATATACATTGTCTTTTTCTTATTTTTTTTATTATAAGCTAAATCGATTTAAAAAAATCATCAAAAATCATCTTTCATTTTGCTGAAAGTGTGAAACTTTTTGCAAAATTTGACAGTTTTTTGTTTTACTCAAAAAATACAAGAAAAAAATATTACAAATCAAAATAAATTTCGCTTTTTTCTCAATTTTACTCTTCAAAGTTCAAATGAGTTTTTATCAAAAATGCAAATAATAATAAAGTAAATAAATAATTAATAGAAAATTTCCGTTTTTTTATAAAGAATAAAATATTTGTGCAAAAAATTTGAAATTAGTCTGGTCTGCATGATTAGAAATGGATTCAGCCTATTTTCAATTTTAACTATATTTTGTTATTGTGCTCAGAAATAGAGACTGATAATTTTTTTTTCAAATTAGATTTTTTTTTAATGTTATTTAACAATTTTATTACTATTTTTTGTTTGTATCGTGCCATTGCTTTTATTAATCGATTTACGTGAAAAAAAATGTTTGCTTACGTTATTATGTAAATATTTTTAGATGCGAAAAATTCAACAAATTTTTTCAATTGCAAACAAATAAAAAATTGTTTGCCGAAGAAAGAAGAAGCAAAAAATAATTAAAATGTAAATTTGAAATTGCAATACAATCGAAAATGATATGCTCACTAATATAGACTTTACAAGTTCTTTGCATTTATAAAGAACTTTGCGATTTTTTGTCAAAATACCCGCTGTATTCGCTACATTAATATTATTATTATTATCTATAAACTCCGCTTCATGGTTTATAGACCATGTAATTAAATTACATTAACTAATGAATTTCAATTTTGTGGAATTGAAAAAAAAAATTGTTAAAAAGAATTCTGTAAATATAGTATCGGCTACGAATTAACTATACATTGAGAAAAAGAAATCTTTTTGTAAATAACTTCGACATGTAGAATTTTTATATAGTGTTTTTTCTTAAATTATTATAATTTATTTAATATATTTTATGCTAGATAGTTTTAAAAAGCCAAAAATTCATGATTGATTTGAGCTTTTTATTATTAGATTTATAACTACTACAGTTTGATAATAGTATTCGATTTATTATTATAACAATGATAATCAGAATTATATTTATAAAATTTTCCATTCATTGAAAATTATAACTATACAAATTTTCAATCTATAAAAATTATAATATCTGAAATTTCTATTCTTTTTTAATTTTTTTTAATTAAAATTATTATTTAAAGTCTTCGATTTATAATTATTTAATAATAACTATTGTAACAATTATTATTATAATTATATATAAAAATTTCCATTCAATGAAAATTATAATTATACAAATTTTCAATCCATAAACTAAAATTTTTTTCTTTCTTTATTTTTTTTTTATATTAACCTTATTGTTTCAATTTGCATACGATTTATAATTATTTAATAAGAGTAATTAAAATTACTATTATAACAACTATTATAAAAATTATAATTACAATTTTTCATTCCATGAAAATTATAATTACTGAATTTTTTATACATTAAACATGTTTTTTAAAATTATTTTTTTGTTGGAATTGTAATAATTTTTATTGAATGTTTTTATTAGAATTATTGTTTAAATTTTTAAAGTGTGCAAACACAATTATAATTGATATTAAAATATGAAACAATTGAATCTCGATAAATAAATTTTTGACAAACTTTAAATTTTTTGCGAATCTTCTATTATAAATTCTCTACTTTAAGAATAAAAAATAAAAATTTTTATTTTATTTTTCATACTAATTGGTTTCATTTAAAAAAAAAATTTTTTTTAATTAACTTTTTAGAACTTTTTAACTTGGAATTATATAAATTGTTTTAATTTCATATGAATTAAACTTGACGTTTAATTAAGTCTGGTAAATAATATTATTATTTTTTGTTAATTAAAAAAAATAAAGAAAAAATTGTTCTAAAGAAAAAATTCTTAGCCTGTAACAAAATAAGTATACTAGAAATGAAGTAAAAAGGCAAAATATAACAAACAAATTATGGAGAAAAGTGTTTAATATATTGTTAAAATTGTTAAACATGTGAAAAGTGATATTTGTATATAAGTCGTAAAAAAGGGGAAAATTAATTAGCATCTCAAGTGTGAGCGAATAAATGAAATTCATTACGTAAATGGGATGAAAGTTTATACAAGAATTATTCAATACTTTTCTCAATTAAATAACCTTGTTCATTAATATGAACAAAGGTGAAACACAGGTTTCAATATTCATAGCGATAAACCCTAAAATGTGTTACTCGCTGAAATGGCTCTAAAATTTTAGAAAATCAAAGTTTAAATCTTAATTCAAAGAAAGAAAATTGGAAAAAATTGTCGATCTTTAAATTGTTTCTTGAATAAAATAAATTTAATTTAATTAATTAATTTATTTTAATTGATTAATTATAATTGAAACTATAATTAATCAATAAATTTAATTGTCTTAATTTAATTTAATTAATTAGTAAATTAATTTTAATTAATTAATAAATTCAATTTTTTGTATTTTTATAATTCCGAATATGATTTTATAAAAATCCCACAAATTTCAAATTTGAGAAAAAAGAAATTAAAATTCGAGAGTTGAAAATTAACACCATATTTTATACTCCATGCGAGAAATTAATTTAAAAAATACATTTTTAATTCTCGAAAATTAAAATTTACTTTATAATTATTTTAATAGAATTTTTTACGCATATGTAAATATAGGGGAATTGTCCCTATATCGTCGTATAAATAATATTATAAATAATTATAATTTGAGAAAATTAAAATTAAAAGAGATTCGACGAAAATTTTGCATCGTTACAGAAATGCAAATGAATGCAATTTATGTGTAGTGAAAATTTAGATGCATGACATTTTTTTTTTAAATTATAATTTCGATGGATATTTATTTTATTTTCTCAATTGAAAATTGAGAATGTGGTATAATATATATGCGACCCTGGGTAATTTGATTTTTTTTCTTTTAATATAAAAATACTGAGAACAGAATATTTATTATGCACAAATTATGCTCAAATTTTCCAATTTCACGAGAACAAATTTTCAGGAGATAATCTTTGATATATGAGTTTAAACTTAAAGCAAATATTACTCGTTATATATACTGAATACATAATATATACTCGTGAGTAAAATTTGAAAATTTTGAGCTTTAAAGAAATATAAATTAAT